TACCATATCGGATCAGGCTCACGATCGCGCCGACCGCGCCCTGAACTGCTGCGACATGGCATAACGACGACGACTACGACGACGACGACGACGACGACGACGAAAAGACGAAGAAAGCAGCCGTTTTGCAGCTGGGTCCCGTGTACGGTGAAAGTCGTCCAAAATGTCATCGGAGTTTAACCTTATCGCACACACGTGTATGCCGCATATTCGTCTATAGAGTGATAGAGAGCGAGGAAGAGGGGAGGGAGAGAAAGAGAAAGAGCCATTGGGCGCGGTATAATATACGGTTGCGTAATTTACCTCCTAGCAGCTGGAACGCGTCAGGATGATCGTTTAAGCGAGTCGCAAACACAGCCTTGACAGGTCGTTTGATCTTCGAATTTTGATATAACAGCAAAATATATACGTTTACGTTAAACGAGCGTGTTTACGGTGTCGTTATCGGAGAAATGCATTATTATCGAAGAATTCGGAGAACGGCGCGTAAGTTTTCTTCCCGATTCGTTATTTCGATATCGAAGCGCATTATCGGCGAACGACTCTCTTCCTGAGGCCGTTGGCGTTATTTCGCGGTGCGGTCCTTTCACGAGTCTAAAATTATCCGCGCCGAGGACGGTTAATGCGTTCCGAGAAGCCTGAGAAGGTGGTTTTGCACCCATCGCGCTTGCAGAAAGGTCCTCCCCCCCTCCTTCCTAGCCATTTCGGGGATACCTCTCGAGATTCTGCTTCTCTGGCGGCTCGTTATTTTCCTCAAACCGGATTTTCAGGCTGCGTTTTGCACCGTTGTATCGTTCCTCCGAACGTTTTAATCGCCTCGGACCGCCGCCGTTGCAAAACCTCCGGCAAGGTGACCCAGTTCGCGGCCGAGGTAGGAACCGAGGAAGTTCCCCCTCGTCTTGATTTTTCGATTCTCGAAAAGGTCTTCGGGAAAATTACGCATCGTAAAAAACTTCGGAAATATTAATTCAGCGCGTAAATATATGTATGTTACAACTTTGACGACTCTGTCTCGAGAAAGCGCCCGTTTTCCGTCACCTCTCACTCCTCGTCGCTCTTTTCCGCGTCACGTATCGCGTATTTATGAAGAGCTGCATATTCAGGTGAATATCACAATGGAAATAATAGCGTGCGTCTGAGACGCGCGCGGTGCGTCGACTCCCGCGGGGAAAGAAAGCGAGAACGGAGAGACAAAAGGGGGACAGGTCGAAGAATTCGAGTCACACCTAGAGAACCTTCCCTGCGCCGTCGTCGAAAAAATCGCGAAACTCAATGGCGAAACGTGGGCCGGGAATGCCTCCTCCGGATTCCTCCTTCTTATTTTCTTCAGAGAGTGGTGCTCGCGCACGTTTGCGCGCACGTTACATCGCGATCTCTCGAGAAAAATACTGATTTTCAATTCTTTCTATAATCGATCGATCACAATTAATCCTTCGCGGACAGACACGGGTCTCCCAGACCCACTCAAAAATTGCGCATCGACGTCTCTAGTAAAAATTAGTTTTTTTTTTGTTTACGCTTATATCTTGGAAACTACTAGAGATTTTTTTGATATGTCTTTTTTAATCGATGCAGAATTGTTCAAACTTTTGATTAAAAAAAAAAAAAAAAAACAAAATTGAAAAGAATTGATTTTTCGCGGAGATATTTGATTTCAAAGTCTCGTGGGTCTCACAGACCCAGTCTGTCTAGCTAGTGAGTCATTTTTTAGGTCTGTTCACGGGGTTAAAATTCTGAAGAAAGTAACTTTGAATAGATAATGAAAATGCGAATAAACTTTCGCACATTCATTATTTCATTACACATAGCAAAGTTTTTGTCGGATATTCAAACACATTCCGGTTTTTCAAAAACCAGCAGGTCTCTGTTTCTTTCTCGTGTACGTGTTGCTGACGCGATCAAACTTTTTCGCCGAGACGCGTCGTGTAGTATACTTGCATCTTACGCGCGAATATCTCGCGGATTTCGCGCGACGGATCTTATTACATTTCGTCCGGCGCGGACGTAATAACGTAATCGGATTTTTCATCAACAGATAGTAGCGCGTGCGCTACCTGTTCGCGCTTATGGGAACTTGCATAATGTTCTATTTATCGCGCCGCGATTGCAATCGTATATAAATATAGAGATATATTCCGATTGCGCGAGAAATGCGCCCAACTCGCGCGCGCGACTCGCCATTATGTCGACACGCGTTCGAAAAATCCGAGCGGAAAGGTCACCGAGACCTTTCGCTGAAATTGTTTGTTAATGGTTGGATTACCACTCTTTCGAAAGGAGAGCACATCTCTTCTCGATCAAAGACAATCTTTCTAAAAATAATTAAAGGCTTTGTTATCTTCCTAATTTTTTTTTTTAATTTGGAAAAGAGGGAAAAATTAAAGTAAAAAATTTCACGTTCTTGTTGATTAAAATTACAAGTTACTTTTTTATTTTTCATTTTTTATTTTTTTATATTTACGAACTATTGACGATTTCGTTCAGGAAAAAGAGAGAAGAAAGGAAGAGATGTGCGATGTAAACGGTTCGAGGATTGACGCGCGCATTGACGTTGCCATGGCACGTGGAAGGCTCGTGCGGCGGTCATCCACCGTTGATCTTTCCACGCGTGTCTAATCGCAGGACTTGTTGACTGCAATTTCCAAGCTTTTCCAGAAAGGTCGAGGCCGCCGTAATCCACGCGCGCGCGCGCGCGCGCTCAGTCAACTCTCCGCGCGAATACCTTCCCTTCTCAGTCCGGCGCGAGAGAACCTTCCGTAACATGGAAATTACGTGATTATTTCTCTCGCCTTTTACCTTCCTGCCGCGAATTATTATCGCAATTATTTCGCGCACCTATGCAAACGCGTGTCTGAGAAACGTGTTGAACAAGAAACTGTAAGCCGAGCAAAACCGTCGTGTTCTAAAGTGAATAAGATTATCTTATCGCGGTTCCAATTATTTATTTATTGAGATCCTCTCTCTCTCTCTCTCTCTCTCTCTCTCTCTCTTATTTATTAAGAAATATAAATTTTTTGTAGAATTGTAATATTTTTTGTAGAATTGTAATATGTTCGCATGAGATTTTCCGGATCAAGAATAATCGCGTTTTCTTCCAGGCTGTAATAAACCTGTACGTTTTATTCGCGACGTTCGTCGGTCGCATATTTGATGATCTCTTCCTTCTTCACAACTCGCCGCGCTATTTACATTTCACCTTTGCAGCTTCATATTCCGACGTAACGTCGCGTTTTATTTATTAACGGAATTGTCAAGTTTTGCGCGCCAGTCGATTCCAAGTGAAACGTGAGAGAAACATCTTCTCGCGGCCTCTACTTTCAATAGCCGATCTTCCATTTCTAAACGATTTCTCGAATTTTGTGCTCGTTCAAAAAAACAACCATCCGGTCGAAATACCATTACTTTCTTCGTCAAGAAACAGCGTAGCATCTGTTTTGCGTGTGTGCAACAACGATATTCTATTAAACACATTTATCTAAGTCTCGGCGAACGTTGTTATTATTATTATTATTATTACATGTAAGCGACGAAAATCGCACATTATTTGCATGATTTGGCGCTCGATCTTATAACTGTTACATGACGATTATATTACAACTTCACAACGCCGTTCTTATATAACGTCGTTGCGTGATTATATGATCATTTGTTTATATAATTGTTACATAGTATAAGAGATATATTCATACACTTCAATTTTATAACTCAGTAAATACATTAAAGATACACCTGGATGCTTCGAAAGAGCAAACGCTCGACGAAGCGTGCGTGTGTTAAATAGCATTTAAAAAAAATTCAAACCAATATATCAATTTTCTGAATTAATTCTTATTCAATTCCTCGCGGACAGACACGGGTCTCCCAGACCCACTCAAAAATTGCGCATCGACGTCTCTAGTGAAAATTTGTTTTTTTTTCTTTAAACGCTTGTATTTTGAAAACTACTAAACATTTTTTTAATTTGTTGTTTTTAATCGACGCAGAATTGTTCAAACTTTTGATTAAAAAAAAAAAAAAAACAAAATTGAAAATATCGATTTTTCGAGGAGATATTCGATTTCAAAGTCGCGCGGGTCTCACAGACCCCCAGTCTGTCTGACTCGTAGATCATTTTTGAGATCTGTTCGCGAAGGATTAATTCTGAATGTATGTAACACACTTCATATTTAATGTACTATAACGAATTGTTCGCGCCAGCGTGAGATTAATTAATCATATAACATCGAGTTTAAATAACAATTTTACTTTTATAAACGCATGGGATTTCACTCGGCGCTAAACTGTGCGTGGAAAGTATATAGTTACGATCCAATAAATCAGCTAAACGGCGCAGAAGATTGGCGGAGAAACGAAAGGATCGCGTTCAAAAGAAATTAGAAGAGACGCACGCGCGCGCTCTCTCTTCCTCTCTTTCTCGAGACGAAGAAAATTCCGCTGTGTTCCAATTTGCTTGCGCGTTACGTGGTGGAGATTGTCAGCCATTTTAATACCTCAGGGCACTGATCGCGCGTGCGATTATACATGTATATTTCGCGAAGATACATTTCTCTCCGCGTGCATTCGATCACGCTTCGACTCCCCTCCCCTCTCCCGTAATAATCCCTTCGTGATAATCCACCTCTTCCGTTCGCCGTCTTCTTCGTGCCGCTCGGCTTCTTCGCCCTTTGCGGAGAACGCGTGCTGCGATCTGGTGACTTCAATATAAAGCGGCTGGATCGCGCGATTTGCGAATGTTTATCGACGGGAATTTGTTGTAAAACTATTCGACGAAATTGTCTTTTAAAACCAATTTAATTGCATTTCACGAAATGCAATTTATTGCATTGTGTGGTTTTCGTCATTTTATTTTTCTATATACTTGTGAACTTAGTTTTATATAAATATACATTTATTTATAACGAGTTTATTTTTTTTTAAATGGGAAGAAAGAAGAAAGGGAAGAGATAAGGAAGAACTTGAGGATCAAAAAGCCACACACTGTGATGAGTTTTTTTTAGCGTGTATTTATTTACAGATTCGATTACAATATCAGAGAGCTTTTGCTTTCTTTATAAAGTGTTACATTGAGGAGATGAGTGCGTAAAAAAGAAACTGAATCGTTAAATATGTCTGTTGTATCTCTTGTACGTTCTCCGATTATCTTCTCAATTCGCTTACTGCGGTCATTTTTAATTATTGTTTGTAGTTTCATTATTCTCGCACAAAGTAATAAGAAATAATTAACGCGATTTTAAGTGAAACTGTTACTTGAGCGAAATTCGCGATCGATACGCATTCTTAGTGTACGAAGCGCGAGTTCTCGAGAAGTTCTCGTCAATTAGCTGAAACAGAAAAACATCAGTCATTATTGATTTCGTTCGATATTTCCGGTCTCTCTATCATTTCTTTCTTAAAATCTATTCGAAACAAAATTTGCGCAAGAAAGCGACTTACCACTTGGCAACGCTGATGGGCCTACAGGAATCCGTCGGTCTGTCGTAAGAGAAACCCAACAAACATCTCACCACCTGAAGCTTGTTGTTTCTACAAACCACTACACTAGTACAAGAATCGTTGAGTCTGTGTAGGTCGCCGTCATTACAAGGAGTGTTCATCAGCTCGGGCGGTATTACTTGAAAGAAAGTCCACGGGTTCGTCAGAGTCGGTGTTTCCGTCGCATTCTGAGCAGACAGGTTGTCTAATGGTTGACCTTCATTAACCGAAATTTCCGCTTGTTTTCTCGTCTGGTCGATCTCTAATTGAGACGCCACGGGTTGCTGATGAAAGGGATCGGTTTCGATTTTAGTCAGCCAGGGATTGCCGGAATACGGAGGAGGAGGCGGCGGTGGATTAGGTTGCGGGTGATAACTTGGTGGTTGCGGTTGAGGAGCGTAAGATGGTTGTTGGGGAGCGTAGCTCGGAGGTTGTGGCGGAGGAGCATAAGCGGGTGGTTTTGAAGGTAACTGAGTAGGCTTTGCAGACGGTCGAGTAGGTATTGAAGGTGGTCGAGTAGGTTTTGAAGATGGTTGAGGCGGTTTTGAAGGTGGTTGAGGCGGTTTTGTAGATGGTTGAGGCGGTTTTGTGGGTGGTTTAGGGGGTTTCGTAGGTGGTTGAGAGGGTTTCGTAGGTGGTCGAGATGGTGGTCGAGATGGCTGAGGACCGTAAGCGGGAGGAAGATTCGAAGGTAATGGTTGAGGGGCGTAAGTAGGTAAAGGAGAAGGAAGATCCGACGGTGACTGCCAAGGTGGTTGAGTCGACGGTAGTTGCGTAGGTTCCGGTGTAGCTGTTCCTTGGCAGTCCACGTTGTATGTATAATCGCAAATTCCCATCTGGACAATAAAATATACAATAAAAAAAAACACAAATTTTTTGTTATAACGTATAACTAGTTATTTTTGATAAAAAGAATTTTAAAATTAATGCTAGAAGAGATAGAACTCTTATCACAGATGATGTAAGAAAAATAATATATTTTTTAATACAAAATATACATTTCAAAAACACATTTCATATATAAGCAAAAAGAAAGAAATAAGAAATTCCGCGAAATTCTAAATAATGTTACAGTCGAAAAAATGGCATTGTCGTTTGATTTAAAATTCTATAGAGATCGCATCGCGGTTTTTTAGACTGAAGTTCTTACGTCACTATAGACCAAGCCGCGAGGACAGCTGAACTTGCAAGGTTTTCCGGCGACGCACACGTAGAATTCCGAGCAGTTGGTGGAACTCCTGTAACGTCCGTTCGGATCTGGACACAGTTTCGATCCCGCCGGCAACGACGGCTCTGTCGAACAAAGAAATTATCTCTTCGTTATTCTAACTGATTAACTCTTTCGGCTATATTTGCAATTATTATTATCAATCCAGAAGACAAAGTATTTTTTTTTTTTTTCATTTTATTTAGACGAACAATTGCAACAATATTAGAAATGTTTTTCGTTTTATTTTTACGTTTTGTCTCCTTGATCCTTTTAACCTTTCGGAAATCTCACTCGAGAATCACTGATTCGTCAGGCGAAATCGCGATTGGAATCGACAGTCGGATAGATCGCCGATTACTCGTGGCGAAGCGTGAACGGTTGACGATTCGCGTCGCGCAATTATCGATCGCACTCACTTGGCGTAGCGGGCGGTCGTTCGCCGCATTTGACGTTGTAGGGGAAGTCACAGACGTTGGTGATATCGTTGAAGAGCAACCCGGCCGGACAAGTTTGCTCGACCACCACGTCGTCCCAACAGTTCAAGTAATCGGCGCAGCTCTTCAAACTCGAGTACTGACCCCTCGAACCCAAGCAGCCCGGCGGGAGCTTCTGCGGCGGAGGCGACGGTTGCGGCGAAATGGGACTCGGGAGCTCGTTCGTATCGCCCGGATTAATCGGAAGTCCCGGATATTGTCGGCCGAAAATGACTTCCTGATGGTTCAACGTGTCGTTCGGGTTCTTCCAGATCTCCGAACGGGAATCCAACTTCTGAATGTCGTAGTTATCCCACAGCGTATCTAATTCTTTCGATTAAATATTCTAATTAACGGAGCACATTTAATGAAGATTAATCGTTTTTTTTTTGCAAAATAAAAAGATACTTCATGGCGTTTTAACAATAAAATCATACGATTTATATGCGCGTAGATTTGAAATACAAATTTAGAAACGTTAAATATGTAAAACACAAAAAAATTATATCGAAGACACACAAACTTCACTTGAAAAAGAAAAGTAAGAAAAAATATTTACGTAGATGTGTTTGTTGTAATATATTACATTATACAGCCAATAATTACGCACGTAAAATCGTCTCGTGAGACACGAAACTCTGAAATTCTTGACACTGACTTCGCGAGTCTCATAAAGAATTTTTCTCGCCACTGACCTTCGGGCTGTCCAGCAAAACCGAGCTGCCTGCCGACGAACGGTGACGACGTCGTCGTCACCTTCGCTGTCGTGGACCTGACTCTCCTCCGGGCCGCGTCCGCGAGTCCTAGAGCAAGAACTACAAAAAACAACGTCACGTTCGCCCTCATCTTTCTCTCTGTGTTTTTCCCGTCTCACGCTTCTTTGAGAAGGGTCGACGTCCCTTCACCGGGACGAAAAAGCAAAGTTTCTTCTCTCGCGGCTAATCTTACTCGAACGCGATGATAATCGAATATCGATGGTCGGGCGGACGCGAATCCTGACGCGCGGTTGTTCTGATGCTGGATGGGCTGGACCAGGTCGCTCTCAGGGCCTTACATAGGGCCGTCCCCACCGCCGCACCGGTAGGGACCGCAGGACCTCAATTACGCGTAGGACCCTCTTCTTGTTGCGCAGGAAGTGCTCGTGACCGTTGCTTTCGCACCGATTCGTTCTTCCTCCCTCTTCTTCCTAGCCTTCTCCTCGAATCTCCCTCCTCTGTTCCTTGTTCGGGAACTTGCCATTGGTCGAGATTTAGGATGTACCCGAAGGATGCATGCACACGCGCGGTAATCATTTGTCCTGTCCGAGCTGTTTCTCTCTTTTTTTTTTTTTTTTTTTTTTTTTTAATGTCGCTTTTCGGGCGCTCGGAACATTGTTACCGCACGAATTTAGGACTTTAACCCCTTCGTGCGCGGTGTTTAATTCATTAAGCGTGCGGCGCAAATTCGGAAGGTCTTAAAACCGTCGTCCGGAACGTATTATGGCTCTCGACGAAGCTCGACGAGAACAAGTCGTGTCAGTTTACTCTTGTGAGGGAACTGCTTCTTGGAAAACGAGGAAGAAACAAATACCGAGCAAGGATCCTCGGAGACTCGTCGCGATCTCAATTACCGAAGACAATTTGTTCTGCACGTAGAATCGAGAGCACAGGATTACAGTTCTTTGTTCTTTGAGAAGAGATCTTCGAAGGATTGTCATTTAATGTTGTTCGAATATCGTTATCGAGAGAAGCGCGATTGTTGTCTCTCTTATCGTCATTTTATTTCGTTATAAAATTTTTATCACAAATGAAAAATTGATTATTATTCAAATTTAAAAATCGAACTTTATCGATTCCCGTTGAAAATTCGCAAGTTTGCCGCGATCAATGACACCGAACTCGAAACTCCCCGAGATGTAGGAAAAAAAAAATTCCTCACTTGCGGGTTGGGGAAAGAGGAGGCGGAGAGAAGGAAGCAGACAGCCACGCATCGGTATGCAAAGGTGGACGCACTCTCGAGAGGAGGAGGACTCGTTACGCACTCGTTACCCGAAAAAGTGTCTCCCGCGAGTGAGGTCCCACGTGGATGCTGCGGTTAAGAGAGCGCTCTTACGTAGGAGACACCGTTCTTTCGAGAGGAGAGACGGCTCATCGCCCTTTTTATTACCCGACCGGATAAGAGATTCGGCGATCCCGGCAATGAGGAAGAATTCGACGGTTCGATGCGAAACGACGAACAAAAGGAAAGCGATCGCATCCACGTAATCCTGGAATCCTTGTGTAGGTCTTTTCGGTCGCGTTTTAATTCTGTGAGTCACACACACACGGTACATACACGCACGGTGACCTCGCGTTGTTTCCCCCGACGTGTGCCGCCGGCATGCTGACGCAGTCGTCGGCGAGATATCAGATCTTGAGCCACAAAAAGAGAAAAACGTATATTTCGCGACATATTAATCTGATTTATTACTAATGGAATCTCTGAATCATCTTAGATGGCAGATAGAGAGAATGCAGTTTCTGACGATAATAGCTTTGCTCGCGAATGAAGATCTATTAGAGCTACGAGAGTGACATTCAGAGTAAAATACCCGCCTAATCCCGGGCGACTTGATATTTACATCGTATTTTTTCGACACAAAAATCGCCGTCCTCATCGCTCACGTCCGATCCGAGTTCTTGTCGTCATTTTATCTCGAGCGCGGCGGTTTTGCTTAGACCTTAGACCGAGAGATCCGCAAGGGGATCTAGGATGGAATGCCGACAGAAGAGAGAGAGAGAGAGAGAGAGAGAGAAATAAAGTGGAAATTCCGCCTGAACCGCGAGATCGTCCAAATGCGAGAGAGAGAGAGAGAGAGAGAAAGAAAGATTAATTCTCGACTTCGTACAAAGTAAAAAAATAAAAATCAATACATACGAGATATAAAAAATAAAAAGAATTTACACGTCGCAAAACTGCAATTTTGCTAATACTTGCTTCAATTTTTTAACCGTAATTTTGTGATGATAATCAATTAGACAATTTTTTATATTTCATGTATTTTTTAATAGTTTCCTTTCGATGATAAAAATTCGTTGAATCACGAACGGTTCGGGTTCGACGAACCTGAACATTGTTTTTACTCTTGTCGAATGTCGTCGACGTTGTATATATATGCTTTTCACGCTGAATCGAAATGCGAGATCGCGCGCAATAAATATTAGTGGCGTAAACTTTACGCCGCGGCATGTCTCTCGCATCCGATACGAGGGCGCCAATATCTTTGCCGAAGAATCAACGCGCCAAGAAAAGGAATTTCACGCATTTCATTCTTAATTAAAACTTAAATTTGATTATAAATATACAAGTAAAATGTTTGTTATTAATTTTCTCACATTGTCTTCTCTACGCATTTCTTCTTTTTACATTTTAAAATATTTAAATATACATTTTAATTATTCAAAACGTTTCGAAAACCACCAATTTGTTCGGAAGTAGAAATCGTAGAATAAATGTTGTTGCAGGAATATAATTTTTTTAACAGCCTAAAAGCGAAATTTAAAATTAGCCGAAGCTTTTGTTCGACTCACTGTGTGAGTTTTGCTTGCGCAATACGACTCGAAAAACAGGTTTGGTACGTATGTACGATTTGTGCATTAAAGCAGGAACCATCTGAAGTGACGTTAAACATGCAGGCGCCGCGCGTTGATACCGTAATGCTTATTCGAATTCATTTCGGGTGGCGCAGGTTGAAACTCATGCGCCGTAACGTCGCGTCTGACATAGGCGTTCTGTTACTACTCTTGCGCGTTCACAGTAATATTCAACTCGGAATATGATAGAGTAAAACCCGGAAGATCACAACGTGCGCGCACACGTCACCGATAAATACGTTTAAACGCATCGCCGCGGCGATAACTACTAATTTAAACGACGTTAATCGACATAAACTCGAAGCGCCGAGTCAGATCTCTGCAGTTACACTAAATTATTTGTATTTTTACAATATCTTCTTTGTGAAAATTTGAATGACGAGAGAAATAAACATTCTGCGTAATAATTAATTTTAATTTCATACGCGGGGAATTGGTTATCTTAAAACACGCTAGAAATTTTAATGATTTTAACTTCTTGAAATCTATAATTAGATCAATTATTAAAATACTGTTGTTTTTGTACGTATAAATTACTTTTATATGTCGATTGCACGGATAACTTAAGCGTTTTATGTCAAAAAAGCACTTTAAAAAATCCAGTTTACTCCAGTTTACTTTTAATGCCTCATTCAAAGGATCGAAATGAGAAAAAAAAAATACTAAAAGGATCGTTCGTTCTTTCCCTCGTTCTCGTGACAAATGACGTCAAAATCTGTTCGGATCCCGGGAGGCGGGATGCCGAATTTGCATAAATAACATACGCGCGCAAAAAAGAGCAGTTAACTGCGGGATAAATATCATCCGTGGGTGAGATTTAAGCGATAAACTCACATAGTTCTCGTTATTTTTGAAAACCGAAGCACGTACAGGATGGTTAAAAAATCGCCAGTTTGAGAAGATTTTATTTTGCGCACAAAAATGTATTTTTATACTTTATACGATTTGCAAATGAAAAACGTGTCAAAAATTGAAGTCGAAAACACAAATCAAAACATTTATTACTTACAAAATATATTACATTTTTATTATATTTTAAAATTATACTTCTCTCTCACATGTGATGACTGTAATTTTTGAATCGCGAAGTGACTTTTGCATCTGTTTGTAGATAATAACCTATTTTCCAGACTCTGTTCTAACTTTACACTATTTTTGATACATCCTGTACATTGGATAATCCTTTATTCACGGTTAGATATTTGCACCTTGCAAGTGGCCGGCTCGTTAGAAGTAGCCCTTTCAATCGCGACTCGCGGGTCAGCCGTGTACGTGTCCAAAGCGATACGATAAAACGACGATGTTTAGGCCGTTGGCTGCCTACACACAGTGATATAAGATGCACATTTGAGAGGATACACATACTATATTGCCGCAATGGAAGTAGCTCATTAACGATAAAGATTACATATCTTTAGCTAACTTTATTCCTTCATTTCACAAGCGAGAACATTTAATATTTTTAATCATCTGATTAATTACTTTGCAGAATATTACTATGTAGAATATTTTTATTATTTTTTGAGAAAGATGAAATAATGTTTTTGAAAACATCTTTAGATTTCGTATTTTATTATTAATTATTATTTGTGTATTTTAAAATTAAATTTTTTAATACTTTTTACGAAGAAATATTTAGTAAGAAAAACAATAGAATTATTTTTTATCTACTTATATAATAAAATATTTTTTAAATATAAATATAAATGTATGTAACATAATATTGGAAGATATTATTTTATGAAAACACGTGACACAATTAAGTATAGTTAGCGCCGTATATGTTATTAAAAAAAAAAAAATGAACAATGTCCTTCGTAATTCCGGATATGGAACATTCGCGGGCGTTTGTCTCGGCTAATTGTTTTAATGAAATAAGTATACTTCAAGAAAAAGACTATTAGAAAACAGCGAAAAAAGTGAAAAAAAGAAAGAGAGAAAGAGAGAGTGGGGGAAAGAGAGGCAGAACAACGATAAAGCAATTAAAAAGGATTCAAAGGCAGGACGAGACGCGGTCGCAAGAGGGTTTGTCTGACAAAAAAAAAGACAATGCAACAGGAGAAAATAAAGGGGTGGTGGGGAGGGTAGAAGACCGTGGACTCGAACGCGTCCAAGGACCAGAGGTCCTTGCTCTCCGGGTCATACCGGCCTACGGACTCTTCGCAACACCTTCTTCTCTTCCAGAGCCTCTCAGTTCTGGTCTATTTGGCCGCGCACGCGCGCGCGTTATTTTATAATAGATTTCTCTCGTAATGAAGAGATACGCTGTATAATATAACGCAACTTTCTTCCTCTTACATTAAAATATAATCACCATAGTGACAAATGAACTGGGGTATTTATGTTAGAGAATTACATGCTGTATTACTACAGAATAATATTTTTAAACCATTTTTTTTTTTTTTTTTAAAGTATACTTTTACTTACAAAACTACCGCGTTTCTCTTTTATATGTTCTTGTTTATATTCTTTTAAAAGAAAATTATTTTCTATTATCATTTATTTTTTTTATAATTTATGAAGTGTGTAAAGAGCCGGAAAACGAACGAGAGATCTCAAATGTTATTTTATAAAAATTAAATTAATTTCTCACTCTCGAATGGAAGTTTATTTTTTGCGTGACATTTTATCTTAATTTATGTAATCGACACTATCATACATCAAGTGTCTCACTAACGAAAGAGTTGCCCGAGTGTCAAGTAGTTTTAGAAAGCACGAGACATTTCCTCGTTAAATACTTTCTCGTCGGGACACCTACTACAATCTCAACATTTTACATGATTACACGCCGTAACTTCTCCGTGCTATGCGGCGCGTTTCGTAATTTTGCATGTGGCGACAGGTGTTTGCGGTTTTCAATGAGGTTTTCGGTCTCGCAACACCGACACGCGACGCACATGTGCGCGGAATCGAAAATTTGAAGCTCAATCACGCATTATCGAAATAATTTAGCAACAAAAATGTCATAACAATTGTAAATTGTTGAATGTCGCAAAACAATTATTTCAAATAATCACATAATTAAATTTTGATATTGATTATTATTGATTTATTATTTAAAATTAACTCCTACTTTCAGGTAAAATTACATTTTTGTAAAATCACATTCGCGACCTCATTCTTCGGGAAACTCTACTTCATAAATTAAAAATAATGTTTTAATGAAAAAGAATATAAAAGAGAAACTCGGTAGTTTTGCAAAACAAGTACGATATATTTTTCAAAAAGTGAACGCGTGATTTATTATTTAAAATAATCTAGTGAATAATAATCTAGACAAAACGAACGGAATAATATTAATTATGTAAGTTCGCGTACATAAGAAATTAGTCGGAACGCGTTTCTTGCTGCAGCTAGTCAATTACGGCGATGCGCAACGTTAATGTGATTGCGAAAAGCTAGGCTGTTGCGGAATTTTTTGTGTAAGCGCGAAAAAAGTGCATGCAATTAATTATATATTCTTCTTCAAAAGTTAAATATTCTTCTCTATTTAGATATATCACTAGATACATTATCGATAAAATCTTATGTACGCGCGTGAGAGTCAGATAAAAATTCTATTGACATGCAACCAGTTTCACTTTACTGTAACACGGTTTGCCACAACTCAGGCGTTCTACGTACAAATTATTATCTCTGTTAATTTTTACAAGATTTCACTATAATTTTTTTTCTTAATTACTTTTTTACAATTTTATTTCTCACGTACGTTATAAGTTTAGTTTCACGTCTCTTTGATATAATTTTGTTGCGTTATCTAAGAGCTTTAATTATTAAAACGGAAAGACACACACGGGTGATATCGCGATAGTTAACGATCGGTCTTCTCTTTTGCAAATCGAGGGTGGGATTGCGAGAGACTTGCGAAACTAGGTATCTCATTGTTTCATTCTTATGTGTCTCGTTTCCTCTTGTGATCATTCCCACCGAGCATTGTGATAATTTTATCCGTCTGTTTTTGTCCTCTCCGTCGGTTGTCGCTTGCATAACAGTGTAAGTATATACACGGTGAAAATCCTTGAAGGATTATGCCAGAGAGCGCTTCTTCTCATCTTTTCCGGAAGGTTATTTTGTTTTAACGCAATTTTAATACATTTGTTTAATTCAGTCAATGCAATTTTCTATTGCGTGACTTTTTCCGTGACAAATCTGAAAAAACTATTAGCTGTGACTGTTATATTTCGCGCGTTGATTAATTTCACATTTCGGAGCGCGTCTGTTTTGTTGAGCGACAAACAAAGTTTATCAGAATTTGAAGAAACGTTTCGTTCTTCGCGCTCTATTGAAGTGATTTTAGAGAGAATCTTTATCTCATCTCAGATGGCGCGGAATCCTCCAGGTTCTCGCTCGGTGAAATTTTTTATTCGAGTTCTGCATCTAGAGAAAGAAATGCTGTTGCGATCGTAAAAATCTCCGATCGTCCTTGAAGCTTCTCGAATTCTTTCGGTATATAAACCATAGACTTCCAACGGAATCGGAATGTCGCTGCAGCGACTGCGCTCGATTTCCTAATGGCTCCAGGATATCGGTGCAGCAATCGGCTTTTATTAAAAAATTCACAGGAACGAGTGAAAGGTGGTAGAAGAGTAGTGTATGAAAAGTTGTTATTTTTTTGTGTTATGTTTTTCTTTATTGACATTAATCTTTTATAGACAGATTTCAAAAATGCCCAGTAATTAGACAGACTGAGTGATCTGTGAGATCCACGCGACTTTAAAATCGATTATTTCCACGAAAAATCAATATTTTTTCAATTTGTTTAAATCAAAAGTTTGAACAATTCTGTTGAAAATTCGATTAAAAAGAAACTAAAAAATCTAGTATTTTTGAAGATATAAGATATAAGTTAAAAACACTAGTTTTTACGAGAGACATTGGTTTGAAATTTTTGGGTGGGTCTGGGAGACCCAGTCTGTCCACGAAGGGATTAAAATCGTTATCACTGCGCAAATTTATAAATTTTAAAAAGCAAGAAGGAAACAACGCGGTGTATTTTAACAACCTTGAAAGATCTTTCCTTCGATGACGTTTTTCATAATAAAACTTTTCTATAATAAAAACAATAATTCCTTACGTTATTGTTGCATATTGACGTGACACGTTTTACACGAGAAATAATAGGTATGTGATTTACACGTGAGTGTTTCACCTTTATTTTCACCGCGTCTCATCGCGTGAAGTTGGTCGATTAAATGGACACTTGTGGGAGGGAAGGAAACCGTGAAGGCCCCGTCTCGAGGCCGCTTCGCCTCGCACGCGAAATACACACGTCGCGGTTGTTTAACGGTGTCGCTTTTAGATAACGGAAACTATAGACGCCACGTGCTCATCTTCTTGTCACGATAATGTAACGTTACGCGTTATTTTTTCTTGATGATTATTATCCGCGATTAAAAAATACAATTATTTTCAAAAACTGTGACGCGCTGAACAATCAATCCTCGTTGCCTATTATTGCCGCGATTGTATAATAAAACTATTTAAAAGTTTGTTGCAAAGTTGTTCTAATATTAATTGCGATACACGTTTGTTCGATGTTTTACAATCAAACAAATAGACATTCTGAAATTGAACGAAGTTCTTCTCACACAGCAATCACATAAACATGCTTTCTTTTTGTGACTAGGCCTTTTTTTTCTGAATGAAGTTTCTTTTCTGTGTGTACGCGATTGCAATTGTGTGTTGAATGACTTTTCTCCCCAATTAAGTAGCAAAACTTCTGCTCGTTCTCCGTGGCGATCTCCTTTTCTTCGGCGCGCAATTTCACTTCCCTCTCTTTGGGAAGAGATGAGGAGGGTGGGAGAGCATCTCTTCGTGGTGGAATAATAGCTGCTCTTCGATCACGAAGAATCTCGCATCGAAAGCTGAAGTCTCGGTCTCGGTATCAACAGTTAATTAGTTCCGCTCTGCCGAGCATGAGAATGTTGATTTACTCGGGAAAAATTATAATCTCGAGATAATTAGATAATTAGATGTGTTTTTGTGCTACTGATTTGTTTGTAGCGCGCGCATCTAGTTGATCGTCGTGCGAGGGCATATCTGCGTTTCGACGGAGCTGCGCAAAAGTTCTTACAAGAAGGGTATTTGCGCGCGATGATAATTTATGGGAATGTCTCGTCTTTTTACTTCCTTGCAAATCTCTTTACGACGGCCATCAATCACACTTTAATATCGGTAAATTATTGCGTACGCGTTGTAAATAATGCGCGCTCTCGACTTCGCTATTTTAAATTATAATTCATCTATTTATATTGTGGCGGCAAAATTCAAGAAATTTACTCAGTTACATAAAGTACGAATTAAATCCATTTGTCAGTTGGTGTCACGAGTCTTATAATTTCCGTAAATATATATACACACACACACACACGTACACACAGAGATCGTATCTGTCGATTCGCAGTCGATGCGTGATGCCACGCACTGGTGGCCTTCCCCGGTGAATCGCAAATACAATGTGAAAAAGAGTACAAAGAGGCGCGCGGAATACCCAATTATCATTAGGGGACACTTAGTGTCGTCTCTCTCACGTGAGTCACGTTAGGAGATTGTTTTCTAACGAGCGGTGTCATCGTATCATCATCAGGCTAATCACCCGTCGGCGACTATCAACCGTCGGAAGGTTCGCGATAGACGAAACCAGGTGTGCTCTCCTGTGTAGAACGTTCCTATGCGGCCCCAGAGATCGGCCAGAAGACGAGGAGGAGTGGGGAGCTCATATAAGACACCAGGCAAACGCCTCTCTCAGTGACCAGTCTCGACACGAAAACTCATCAGCCGAGCTTCTTCGGATCTCTCACACGAACGAAGAAGAGAGAGCACACATTCCCCAAGCATATATCCCGGATTATCAACGTCGGTCATTGGGATTGACATTTCGTGTTAAGTCGATCGTACATCATCTCGGACGCAGAATGTCGCAGCAGATCCTTCCGCTCGTTCTGGTGCTCCTGGTTGCGCAGGGTGAGTTAACTCTTGTCTTGTTTTCGTTAAGTTGTCTTCTTCTCTTTCTTCTTCCTCTTCTTGCTTTCTTTTCGGCGTCTCCTTGTTTCTTCTCTCTGTGGTCATTTTTGTTTTTGTTTATTTTTCACCTTGAAGTTTCTTCGTGGAGATTAATCGACACGCATATCAGGTGTGCGAATTAATACTTGTGTTGTTTTCCGCTGACATATTAATATATATATATATATATATATACGTTGTAGTTATAAATTTTGACACTCGCTACTACTGTCTTACATACAATTGCGTACGTATTTATATTTGTATTAAACAGTATTTATATTTGTATTAAACAACTAATTTTATTGTACATCTACAAATTTATAGATAGTTAATAATTAAAAAGATACGCATAATTTTAATATTTCATTTTTGAAATATTAAATTATTAAATTATTAAATTATTAAACGCGGAAAATATTAAATTTTTTCACCGCTGTAAATAATAAAATATAAATTAATATAACAACTCTACGTATTATTTTTTTTAAATAAAAATTAAGCACTATGATATTTTTAAAACTTTATTACACAAGTAATATTAATTGAGAGAAAGAGAGAAAGAGATAGAAATAATTATTTTTTTTTGTCTCGTCGTAATTGAAAATTATTTCAATTTAAATTTATACTGTTTCATCATTTGGTATTTTATTTTAATATATCTTATATTTTCATTACTCTTTAAACGCTTTATCTTCACGCTTATCTCAACTCGTACCACAGTAAATACGAGATGTCTCTAGAAATTGGCTTTGATCTTGGATTTGATCTAACGACCGTTCGGCTTTCACTTTCGAGATTGGCTGACGTACGTGTCTATGTCTCTCTTTATAAATAATATAAGAGAGTCCTACGTTAAAACTTCTCGAATCGAATCAAGTCGAGCAAGCGCGGTTAGGTGCGCGCTATGAAAACGGTGAAATTTTCTCACAGCCGTTACACCGCGGTCGCAGTGAAAAAAAAAACAAAACTGCCGCGAATCGTTCTACTTTCCTTCGCGAATCTTTAACGTTGATCGCGCGTATCGCATCGATTAATGTTAAGGCAATCCTCTCTTCGCGTCCTTCGCGATATTGAAGGAGAGAACGCGGAATGTTTTCCATTCCAATTTTCTCGTCGTATCAATCGTCTCGTTCTCTAACGGCGCTCGTTATCAGTAACGAGAGAATTGCTTCAATTATCGCTAAATTTATCACTTATCGCTTTCGCGTTCTCATTTCGAAAGGAGAATGCGAAATTTCTACGCTAATGATACTTGATTAAGTTAATACCGCATTCACGACCGAGACAATTGTTTTCAATTTTCACGCGTTTAACTTATGTAATTATTATTCTCGTCCGATAATAATCCGTAGATTCGTTGGTTGAGTTAGATAATGAGGTTTGATTACAATTTTCGTTGCACAATCTTCGCGACAGTAGCCAGAAACTAAGTAGTATATAAACAGCGGTTCCCTTAATTATTACACACATCTCCGTGAAGAACAATAACGCCATTCACCAGGTTTCACACATCTTGAGAACTTTCTCCCGTGTGCCCGAAGTGAAAATATGAAAGTAGCGCATAGTCTGCAGTTCGCTCAATCTCTCTCTCTCTCTCTCTTGTTCTCTCTTCTGTCTTTCAATAAATTTATTATTTAACGGATGTAGCAGGATATCTTTGCTCATTTAAATTCACAAGCTTGAGTTTTCTACGAAATCTGTCCGGAATCTCTCATCTTTTGTTAATCGAGAAGATCGCTTAATTAATATATGAGAACCTAATTGCTTCTTTATGTACATATATATTGTATTTAATTAGGATAATTTTTTTTTTTTTTTTGCTTGATATCTCTGAACGCCCGCGTAATCCCGACATTAATATGTATATATATGGGACTTATATAAAATTTTCCCTCACATCCTGTAGATTCTTCGGTATATCGATTTCCATATCGATTTCCTTGCCGATTTTTTTCGGCGAACACATATCGTCGCCGAGATGCAACGCTTACGCAAGAGATCTTACTTTCTACGGTAAAACGCTCGGAAACTTAGGGTCGAGCGGTAGCCGCGATCTTCTCTTCGGAGCAAAAGTTCATTCATTCATTCATTCATTTTGTTTATTTTCGTCTGCTCGAAACTTCGATTCGAAGTCGCGCTCCCCGCTGCTGGGGTTTTCGAAAGCGGGGGCGTAATAGCGAAAAACAAAGAACACGAAGCGTTCCGCTCGACTTGAGTTATATCGATCGATCGACAAAAACAACGCGAATAGGAAGGAAAGAGGAAGTCGTCGCGGCTACGCCGTTGTTGTTGTTGTTGTTGTCGGTACATACATACAACGCCTTTTTGTCGGGAACGTTGCACTGTTAGTGGAACTCGAGGGTAGGGCCTCGCATTCTCTCCTCGGCTTCTACCGGTCTGGAGAACGATCGGCGAAATGGGCGTCTCTCGAACGCTTATTCGCGCCTTGGATGGAAGAGAACGTGAAGAGAACGCGTCGAGAGAGATAAAGAGAGAAGAAAGAGAGAGAGAAAGAGAGACTTCGTGACTTTTGCTCCGCCGCGATTGGAAATATACGCGGAATTTTTTTTTCTCTCATTTAATCCAGTACATGTACTGGATTAAATGAGAACCAAAAAACCACAATTTATCTCGACGAGAAAATTATCTTATTATTTTTCCGACTCGATTGATAGCTCAATTCCGCGCGCGATCTATCTCAAACGAGAAATTTATCTCGAAAGTTTGTGATACCGGCATAAAAAAAGTAAATCGTCCGTAGATTATCCGAGTGAAATATTATGCAAATTGAGATATTTCTGCGAATGTGTGACATTTGTTGAAGATATTGAACGCATTAGCGCTTCGACGTTTGTTTTTTTTTTTTTTTTTTCGCGATAAACGTCATCTTTCATTAGTCTCCGTCGTGAGACGCTTTCTCCGCTTGTAAAAATCGACTCTTCGCAAATTCAAGCGAGGGAAACTTCCCGGATCATCGTTCGTTCGTTCGTTCGTTCGTTCGTTCGTTCGTGAGGTTTCGCTTTTTTGCGGGGAGCGTGAAATTTTCGCGCGAGAAGCAAATCGGAGCCGCTCCTGCCTTTCAGCGGCGACTTAGGAACGGCAAGAGCCGACGACTTTACAAGGAGTCGTAAAGGAAGGGAAAGTAACTCGACGTTATAACCAAGCGTCCCGCTTGCGTAATGCGCCACGACGAACGTCCCAGGGATGTCTCCACCTATTCGCCGCACCGTGACAATTGCGCGCGCGCGCGCGCGCAAATCGATTATAATCGCAAAAACGGTCCCAGCGAGACAAATCGGATTTATATCGTTCTCGAGTCTTCAGGCGCGAAATTGTACTCACGGGTGGGCCCCCACGGCTGTTATTACGGGTCTTTTTGATGATTTGCATAATTCCTGAGAAAATAATCAATAGCTCGATACTCGACAGACAGATAATTTTATCGTCTCTCGGGTGTTTTGATAAAAAATAAGAAAATAGAATATCTAGAAAATTTTTTAATATCACACATTTTTTCACATTTTATTTTCGACGTGCCTCTTTTTAGTTTGTAAATTTTGTAATTTCCAAATGTTTTGAGAAGTGTCTGTGCAAATTCTCTGAATTCTAAAAATAAACGGAGCGCGCAAAATGGCTGTTTAAATGCGCGATGACGTATCGCTGGTACGATACTTATTGATGCAAGATTATTATCACGATATATTCTCATTGATAATTAAGGCCACGATTTGCGCAATTCGCGCCACGGTGGAAACTCACAATCTCTCTCTTTCTCTCTCTCTCTGAACGTTCTTTCTCAGAAACAGGCAAAGCTCGGCTTCCCCACGGAGATTATCCGTATCGTGAGATCGATCGCGCGCGCCTCGCTTTCCTTCCCTTATCCGCTCGGACCAGTTGGTCAACAACAATGCGCAATCTTTCCGCGACTCAAACGCCGTGTAACGTAATCGCACACATGCGTGTGCTGCGCATAACGATTATTATCATTCGTTCAACGATACTCGACCTTTTTTTTTTTTTTTTACTTCTCTCACGATTTGTTTCTCAAATGTTTTTTTTACCGTGCCGTTTACAAAGTTTTGTCGTAGTTTATCGCAATCGCACGTCTCTTTACGCGGCGTCTTTGGAATAACAAAACGCCGCGATTATGATCACTACAAAAATGTAATCGAGATTGAAAATAAAGAATAATCGCGAGGTGTGTGGTTGCTATCAGAAACTCCTTGCGAAAAACGGCGGCGATGGGTCCCTCGTAGTCCCTCGTCTCAGCCTGAGAGGATACGAGTTGTTGTTTTGAGATTTTTTATTTTCTCGATCGGAGATCCTACACGAAAAAGAGAGAGCGATCAAACAAGAATGAGAGAACCAGAGAGGCGAACGAGGTGAAATAAGACGAGATAAAAAAAAAAAAGAAAAAAGAAAAAAGAAAATTGAAACAAGTAATGATATTACTTTGAGACCCGACGCGCTCGTAATATTTTTAGCAAACTGAAGGAACGCGTCTTCCAAATCGAGAGATGAGAACGTTGTATCGAACGGAATCGACCAGTCAAATCTTTCGAGGGGGTCGCGGGGAGGAGAGTGCGGAAGGGATCAGAAAGGTGGAGCCAGGAGGTGTGGAACTAAGTGCCCCGAAGGTTGCGAGTCAAGGCTAAGGCACTTTCACTCTCGAGAGCCCGTCTTGGGAGCGCGTCTCGCGTCGACTTCCCACCTTATTTTACTATTTGCTTTTCCGGCGAGCGCGAACGCGCCGGCGGATCATTAGAGGATCGATCGATTGCGGTAAATCGACGCCCGGTGGTGGCGTTCTCGAAAATTCTCTGTGGGATATGCACAGTTCGTAGCTCCTGAACGTGCGATACGATCTTTCCTTATTATCTGCCTTTAGCAGAGACGAAAACGTTCTGTACAAAATCAAACGCGTAACGAATGCGATCTTCGCGCCGGGTCGCGTTGAAGGTTCGATATCTGCTTATGTTGATCGACCGGGCGATAATCTCGAATGGCGTTTTGTTAAATCCGCGCGTGAATCGCGTCATTGTGATGTTCAAGTCGACGGATTTCGATTAATTTCGAGAGAGAGACGTTAAACGACTCCGAAACCGCACGTGGTTGGAATATTCACAATACACACATTCGTGTTTACACATCGATTCGTATCCTTCGACGAGGACGCGCGCGCGGATGGAATTCGCGACGCGTCGATACGCGTGCACTTTGGTATATCGTAATCTCGGCGAGAGAGAGAGAGAGAGAGAGGGAGGGAGAAGATGAGACGTAATTAAAAGGAGTCAGGAAAAGATTAATGAGACGCGATAAATTGGCAGATAAAGTTGAAAGCCGGTAACGAGCTTTACGCGGCTAATTTACGTTGCAGCTTGATTAGAACGGGAAAGCAGAAAACGACAAGAAGGAAACAAACTCGCGTTCGCAAATGGTCTATTAAATGGCACACGTCCGCGCTCTTGTTAATTAACGTGAATAAAATTATTTCCTCAAGGAAATATGTAACAGGGATTTACATTGCGCACTCGTGAAGATCGTAACTTTGCCTGATCGATTTCCTTTGAAAATTCTGTTTCGAAATTAGAAGAGAAAGAAAGGAAGGATAATTTCTATTTCGACTAGGCGAAACTTGACATCTTCGTGCTCGTAGGCTCGCTGGGCCAGAAACAGGGCCAGGAGGACCCGTGCCAGACGAAATCGCGGGTCGTAGGCGACATCGAATACTGCGATCGCTACTGGGAGTGCGTGAACGGCCGTCCCGAGCTGTTCGACTGTCCGAACGGTTTGGTGTTCGCCGGCAAGCACCGCGGCGTTACCGAAGGCTGCGATTATCCCTGGCGGGCGAACTACTGCGATGGCAAACGCCAGGCGAACCCGCCGATCTCGACCGAACACTGCGACTGGCTTTACGGCATCTTCGGCCACGAGACTTCCTGCACCAGGTACTGGACCTGTTGGAACGGCACCGCCACCGAGCAGCTCTGCATAGGCGGTCTGCTCTACAACGAGAGGGCCAGATCCTGCGACTGGCCCGAGAACGTCGAGGGATGTCAGAAGCATCGTAAGTATAACAGCAACACGTTCTCGAAATGAAAAAATCAATATTACAGTATTTATTGCGAAAAATAAAAAATTGATTTAATTGTTAAAAAATTGACGTTTACTTAGAGATTGTTCGGTGAAGAATAACAAGCGCGTTGAGTTTTTTATTTCTGAGTATTACGAGTTCGGTTTTTTTAATTCGACAAGACGCAGCTGATCGTTCCGATCATTTTCACTTTCGAAAGTGGGCGAACAGGACGCACTTCCTCGTACCGTGTTTGTTGTGTTCGGTTTCTTGCACGAGTCAGCGTCCCGTGGAAAAAGGGGCGAGGCGCTTTAATTAGCATTTCAAAGTGAAAATTCTCGTCGCGCCTTTCTCCTTCTCCTCGTCCTCGACGACGAGGGGCCAGATGAAACGCGTTTATTATTAATTCGCGCCGCGCCGCCTCGCTGAATGTCATATACTTACGTTGTCTGATACATTGATTACCGCGCGCGATCGTATCTTTCTTTTTCAAGGTTGAAACGCGCGATGAAAACTTATTATTATCGAGAGATTTTTTTACGTTTCTATTTGTTACGAAATGTGTGGTTGAATAATTTCCTGATTTTCAATTAAATGTTCAGATTTGAAACGAATTATTTAAAAAAAATATATTATTTCGAGTTCTTTATTGGTAAACAACAAATTTTTCACGCAAATGAGACGTTAAGAATTTCAGATCACGCGTCATGCTGAATCTTCAGCCAGGCTGAGACAGATTGATTTGCTTCCAGCTCTCTGCAATGACGACGCCAACGGTAACGTGCCTCTGGGTAAGTCGTGCAATCGTTACTGGCAGTGCCAGGGTGGTTATCCGCGGCTGCAGCGCTGCCCGGCGATGCTGGTGTTCGACAGACGGTCGCTGAGATGCGTGGTGCCGCCGACGGAGGACTGCGACGTGCCGACGACGCCGCCGCCCGTCGAGGGCGAGTTACCCGAGGGTCGCAACGAGCAGGAATCCGAGGAGGAGAATCTGCCGCCGGGCGTGCCACCCTTGCCATCGGGCGCGCTGCCGATCGCTCTGCGACCGCGAGCCAGAAACTAAAGTTGCGGCGGGTCCTGTCCAGACCGAAGGAAGCAACAGGAGGTGGTCCCTCTTCGACGAGTCAAGTCCCGGAGATCGAAAACTCGCCGATCATCGATCAATTTTATTTTTAGAGAAGCTCCTTTCTCTGTCTTTCTCTTTTTCCCTATCTCTCTCTCTCTCTCTTTCTTTCTTTTTCTCTTTCTTGTCGACCTTCCTCTCATGATCTTTGTAGTTCTTTAAGTCTAGAATCGAATCTTTAACGTAGAGAATCGAATTGGCGAGGGTTTTAGCAGTTTTAGATTTTTACGCGCCGAGTAGACATTTTGTTTTTCTAGTTCTTTTCTCTGTTCACACACAATCGCGAAGTTTTAATTTTAATTCTGAACATATATTTATTACTTCTTTTGAACATTAGATATTTATTTCGAGTTTTTGTTTTTTTTTTTTTTTATTGAAGTTTAGAAGTGTTGATTGTAATGAAAATTTTAAGCACCGTTGATAAAGTTATGTTACAACTAAAATCACACAAAGTTGATAGAAGACGACACGTAAATGCAGGAATTGTGTTTGAAACAAAAACGATCGTTATAGTCTATAAAAATATGAAAAAAGAATTTCGAAGAGTTGATTGAACACATTTCCAAGGACCGAGACTTGTCGATCTATCGATCCATTGATCCATATCGATCGATATCCCATTTATTGATCGGTATTGATCTATTGATCCATTTGTATTATTGTGACCCCGATCGAGCTTTTTTCCCCCTCCCGAGAACGGAGACTCACGTATTCTCACGTATTTATCAATTGATAAATGTTAATCGCGAACATCTCTCACAGTTGTTTTTCAGTTTCTCAGGACCGTTCACGTCTCTCTATTCTCGTCTCCGTCGTCTCATTGGTCGAGATGTAAATAATTCCTTCTATCTCTTCTCTCTTCTCGTAATCGTTAAGGTTCGTATCGTGTACATGTAGATCGATTGGAATAAACTGTACGTTGTATATTTTTTATACGCATGTCCAGATTTTATTCAATGTTGCCTGGCTGTACATTGTTATTCTATTTATCATAAATACATTCATATATGTATTACATATATCGTACTATATATAAATATACATAATATGTACTACATACACCGTACTCATTCTTCACGCGCGTTACATGCAATTACTCTCTCTTTTAAACACATTTATTGATAATAATTTACAATTATTAACTGTCCCCCGTTTGTTTTTCTATCTTCAGCGCCGAACCAAAATAGAAGATAGCATTTTTTCACCTTTTCGCATATATTCGATTAATGTTTTAATTTTCTTCTTGCAGGTTTCTTTTTTAGTTCTTTTTTTTTTTTGTATAAATTCTTTTGTTATTTATTACAATTTTCTCGTTTTTCTTAATTTTTACAATTTTTATTTCTTGTCTTGTGATAGTTTCAATGCTCAATTTTTTTATGTACAACATAATTATGTATTTGTAATGGTTTTGCACATTATCGTTTTTTTTTTTAATTTTAAGATTACATTGTTACACCTTTTCGCTGAAATTTTATTTGTTATCGAACGTTTTTTGTTGTTGATTTTCGTTGGTTGTTTCGTTGATTGAGAATGTCGGAAGATCAAACTTTCAAAAAGGAACGTGCTTTATTCTTAAACGCCATTAGAGCTAAAAAAAAAAAAACAAAAAGTTTGTTAAAAAATTAAAGTATGTTTATATGTATATACGTATAAATATAAAATGTGTACAAACCAGTGAGGAACTTCGTCAGGATCTAGACAGGTCAGACTCACTGAGTCGAAGAGTTTTCCATCTCCGCAGGTGAGAAGTCGCGGATGACCGTCGACACAGGTGATCAGTCTGCCGCAGTCACCTGGCACAGGGAATCTGAAAACATCGCATCAGTTGCAAAAAAAACATTTTTTTTTCTATTACATGAAATTTTATTATGTGCAATAAAAAGAATATTTTTTCCCGTTTTTTTTTTAAATTAAAGAAAATATAATTCGAAGAGAAGTTTCTGCGTGCTTCAAGTTTCATCAATCTTTCAAATACGCCATAAGTTTCATGAAGAAAAAACATTCGACATTCGAATAAAAGTGCTATTCGCCATTTGTCTTAGTTTTTTTCTCGCTCTTTCTCTTTCTCTCTATCTTGTCTTGCTAATTTCCTTTCGGTCTTTCTCGGAAGACGACCGGTTCTTAAATCGAGATACTGCGCACAAACGCAAACTGTTTGACATTAACGGCGTTGACTCCTTTTACTTTTATAATCGCCAGTGGCGCGCGGTATTTTCTCTCCATGAATCTTTCTCGTAGTTAAAAAAAAGGTAAAACGCAAAAGAAAGATCGAGATAAAGAATTTTATTGCCCCCTTGTGGGCGCCGTGCAGCGAGCTAACACATCTCGCATAAATATGCAACCGGAAATTTACACGAAGGTATCAATCACGTCTTGAATTCAATTAAAAAAAAAAAAAAATGTCAGTAATAACGTAAAAGTACGTAAGAGAATTAAGAATTTTTGACTTTTTTTCCAAGACGTATAAAAAAAAAAAAACATCAAAAATGTTTATATCCCGTTTAAAGTGCGTTGATCTCGATTTTATTTCCGCGTTCACTTTCGTTACGCGCGATTTCTCGCGAAGTCTCGCAAACGTAATTTCGCACAACGTGCATCACCTCGGGTAGGGCCAGAACTTGGTGGCGGGGCTGTTGGGGGGCAGTTTGTGCGGGCACTTGAAACCCACTATGGCCTCGGGATTGCAAAAGGGAATAAGCTCGTCCGGCCAGACGCAGGTGTGAGTCTTGGCGTTGTAGACCAGACCGGGGTCGCAGTGAGCTTGATGAGGTTCGCCGTGAATGCATTTGACGTAAGTGGTGCTGCAACTGTCGCTCTCCGGATACATACCGAACTGATACTCGCAGCCCGGGCTGCTGATCGGCGTGTCTGCAAAAGGATGATGTCTCAGAGCGTTTCCTTATATCCGATCGGAAAGAGACGTTGAGATTTTTTTCTAATATTTTAACTCTTTTAGATCTCTCTCTCGTTTCATTTTAATTTTTTAGAAGTAAAACCGTAATTTTTTGTTAATAGAAAATACTGAAATAAAAATAAACAAATTTCGAAGGTTTTAATTTATAAGAAAAAGGCTAAAGTATTTTTCTATAATTAGATTGCAAAAGAAAAATTCTTTGTAAATGTTTTTCTTTGCGCCGAAATGTGCTCCGAATGATAAGCAATCGAATGAGATTTCGAAGGCGACATGATTGGCGTTTTAACGTGGCCCACTAAGGCGCTGCCAAAATCACTCGACTGCCTTTTACTTTCACGACAATGTGTCTCTCGCTCGACTGACCCTCGGTTGTTTTTTTTTTGCTTTTATATAAGTTTCGCAAAAAATAAACGGCGTGAATAATATGTGGTAACGTAAGTCTTCTGGAATTTTCGCTGTGAATTTTTTTATTGCTGTTTTTACGCGTTTATTATTACACGTGCTTTTCCGTTTAAAGACAATAATAAATAAAAAAAACATTAATAAATTGCATAACTCGGATAGTGAAAATAAAGCGTGTTACACTTACAGTCGGCTTTGCGATTTCCGCAGTCGACGGCCCAGTTGTAATTGCAATGATTGTAGATGTTGCCGTGTCCGTCGAATAGAAGTCCGTTCTCGCAATATTCAAAAGTCAGACTGCCGTTTGTGCACAGAAAGAAGGCACCGCAGTCTTCGGGATGCGCGTAAGCGTGAACCCCGTAAGGGCTTGGACACGGCGGTGCGCCAGTGAGTAAAGTGGGCGCATTGTGAATCGTAAGACCCTGAACTATATCGAATAACAAAATAATTTAAGAGAAAATTGAGAGAATTAATATTCTCTGAGCGTTTGTATAAAAAAAAATTGCGCATTTCGCGACAATGTCGCGTTCGAGTTGAGTTTCGTGAACGATATGACGGCGAAAAATCCGCGTAAATGAGATTTCGGCGGTCAAGTTTGTCGAGTTGACTGATTGAAAGTTTGTGATTCGAAGTGGCTCGTTTCGCATGACGGCCTCGGACTTTTTTTTTATTCGCGAGCACACATTCCGATAGCGAGCTGAAGTATAACGGGTACCATAATTGTCTCTCGCATCGAAAAGCAAAAGTGTAGCTAGCAAAACCAACTTTGCTAGAGACAGAAATATCAGATAAAATTCAGATTTCCTCTCGTTGAAGATGATGATATTTCCGGGATCAAAGGAACCAGCAAAGATTAAAAAATCATAATTATTTATTAAAAAAAAATAAAGAAAAAAAGAAGAAAAAGGGACACGTTGAACGAATAGATCTCGAAATAGAAATAATTCGAATGATATTATTTTGAAATTAAACCTGGATAATAAATTTATTTAAATCAAATAAAACGTGTGAACGTTCTGCAATTTTCTTCTTAACGAGCAATATTTCGTGAAATGAACGAACACTTAATTAATTGGCAAAAAAATTGTTGAGTTTTCTGATACTCCACATCGCGACTTCCATCGATCATCTCTCGAGATCGAGTGTTCGTCATAATGTCACACACGCGGGTCTTAACATATGGCACCCCGAACGGCGGTGAAAGCGTTCGCGAGCCTAGGGTGGCGCCGCAATCTGATCGACGGGGTTCACGGGGAAAAAAGGAAAGCTCTTTTGCAAAAAGAGTTTTTCACTTTTCTTTCTCTTTCTTCGCGGGAGAAGAAGAGGAGCTCGTTCCTTTGAGATGCACACACACGACGCTCGCATCCAGACACGCGTAGGCGGAGTAAAGGCAAAGCTCGCCCGCGGATGACGGGTGGTGGCGGGTGGTGGTGGACTTACCACGTGCCAGGACTGCCAGGAGCAGCAGCGGGGTCACGCTTCTCAGATAGTTCATCTTCCCGGCGTTCTGTTCGACTACTGCTGACTCTGACTACTGACGGCGTAGTCGATTGGCGCGCACTTAGGTGTCGGCCTCGGTACACGGTCCGGACACGGTCTCTCCCCTTCACTCCCTTCACCGCGGCGGACCCCACCAGAGTACCCCCGGGTTGCTTACGTGCTCGGCCTGCCGACGCGGCGGCGGTGCCGAGCGTGATGGATCGTGTGGTCCCAACCGCGGTTGGAATTCTTCGCGACATCGCGAGACGTCAATTATACGCGAGGACGAGAAGAAATATCGAGTAAAAACCGCAAGAGGATCGTCGTGGAGGGCGGAACAAGAGTTGGGAAAGAAGATGAATTAACGAATTCGCGAGCGTCTCTCAAATTGGGATAATAAGAAAAAAACTATTAAATTGCAGGTTGAAAGTTAAAAGAAAGAGAGAGAGAGAAGGAGAGAGAAGTTAATTTTATTCTTCCTTCAAATCTCAATTTGAGACCGAGACGTTGCAACATCGCTTTCAAATATCACGACGTGTTTCTACGACATAATTCTCGTACGATCATTCTCTCACGCGTGATGTGATGACTAAGACTCGCTGAAGACTCTATTTTCGTTCTCGTTTAATAACCAAACACTCAGCCCGCGCGATGGAAAATATCAAGAAGGATCACATCCTCCAAGACACACACACACAAAAGAACAACATTCGTTTCGCGATCTATCATCCATCTAATCGTCTTAATATCGCGCGCGGCATCGTGAGAGAACGCGTATTGAATAAATGACGTTTAATGCCAGAGCGCGATATTTTTCCACCTCTTCAAATGTCTAAAGAGTCTCCCGACGAATATATGTATATATATTCGTTGCGCTTTGCACTTAACCATGTTGCACAAGCGTGCTCGTCATTTTTCCGCATACTTAAATACCCGCATAGCATTCTCTAGGTGAACGGCGCTGAAAATGTTATGTCTGTCAAGCTCTTCGTAAATAAAACATATCGCCTGATTCTAGCAAGCAATTCTCGAAAATTGCAGTATCGAAGAGAAACTTTATTTTTTCGGATTCAAACTTCAAATTATTACGAAAATTATTACATAACTTTGATTTTTATTTCAAAGGCCTGTTTTTTAAATTTTGTTTGTTTTTTTTTTGTTTTTTTTTGTTTGCGTCACTTTGAGCGAGACATATGTTTGGTGTCGTCGAGAGAAAAGTGAGTTTCTCATGCGGCAGGCAGAGTGCCAGCAATTAAGCAAGGGCACGTTGCGTCAAACGGTTAATGCCAAGGCGCGATCCTTCTTACGTGACGTCAGAAGAACGTACCTATCTACGGGCGCTAGTGTAATCCGTTCTTCTAACGCGTTGTGCGATCGGTTACGTTGTAATCGCATACAAAATTGTATGTGCGACGAAAATTACACACGGATATTAAACATGGTGCGAACACGTGATATCTCTTTCGCGAATACACGGCGTGATCGCGCGCGCGCGCGCGCACACAAGGCCCCTGGGGGCCTTTAACTGGCCTTACGCAAGACCCATCACGTTGGTTACCCGGAGGAGGAAACCAGATTGTCGGATAGTGAAAGCAGTCGAGGCAAACCGGACAAGTCGACGGATCAATCAGAAGTTCGAAGCGAATAATAACGTCACGATGACGGTCAATGAAATTGTTTTAGGATTATTAGCAACTTTTTCAAAAAAAAAAAACAGCCGTAGAAAAATTAAGCCGTGTTTTTGATTTCGAAAAAGCGTACGAAATGTGCAGCTTGCTTCATTTTTACACGAGAAACAATAGACAAATTATGGAAAAAAATACATTTGTTTTTGACGTTCTTTTATATATTTCATTGATAAAAGTTTACTATTATGTATACGTAGCATCTTCTTTCATCTTTGTTTGTTTGTTATTTTAATTGTTATATTTCGCGCGGTATTTTCTGTGAAATTATTTTCACAATTCCCATCTTGACCGAGTTTATGGAACAAGACGCAAATTAGCGTGCTAATGAGATGCGCTTCGTCGTCAAAATTATGTAAAGAAAGAGATAGAGCGAGACGGAGAAAGGTGAACAAATAAGGAGAAATTGTCCGTTAAATCTGCGAAAAACCGTGGCACATTGTGCGCAACAATAATTGTGCTATAAAAATTGCGCGGAATATATATATATAATTCATCTCGCGAGTTCTTTCGAACGAGCGCGCAAGACACGGCAAAATCTGCTCTCAAAAAAAAAAATGGGAGTACGTCTATAATGTCAGTAGTTGAAAGTGTGTGCATTGTGACGAACACACGCGGTGACTGCTTTTCACGCTGACATTTGACTCGGCGAAGTGAAATCCGGCATGTGTTCGAAGACGCGATTTCGCCAGCGATCTCGAAGATGCATTCTGGAGTATAGATTTTTGACACTCATTCCCCGACAGTTCTTCTCAGAGAAAGCCACGTGTGTGTGTGTATGTGCGCGCGCGCGCGTAATACACACGCGATATAGATGTTAACGAATTAAATTACACGAGTGAAACATATAATCCAACATTAAAAAAAATATATATATATATGTATATATGCGATTGATCATCTTCTACTAGAAAACAGTGTCACGTTGCTCGCTTTCTTTGCGTCTCTCTGTGAATTCCGCTCAAAAATATTTTTTCTCTCTTTCTCTCGTTAAATCTTGTTTATATTTTGTTCGTGTGTCTGCAACATAAGTTTTATTTAACAATACTGAATCTTTTATATCTGAAGACCACAGGAGAAGAACTTGGCAAGTCACATTTTTGTAATTTTAGATGAGAACGATTTTAAAGTTCGAAGCGTACGTGTATTTCTCTGTTACACGTTTTGTAAAAGTGCTCATATCTGCTCGGAATCTATCAAGATTTTTCCCCTCTCGCTTTGAATAATTAAAATACACTCATTTTAACTACCAAATAACATCAAAAACAAAAGATCGAAAAAATATGAGTAACTTATCAAGTTCTCTTGTGGGATATATATATATCTATATATATCTATATATATATATCTATATATATCTATATATCTATATATATCTATATATCTTTATCTATAATTCACATGATAAATAATGTTATTATTTCACACCTTAATTTTGCATGTAATTTTTTATTTTTATTATACGTCCAAGACGATCGATAAATCATATAAAGTCGTGTGCGATTATTAGTGAAAAATAAGACGATTGTATAAATCCATATAAAATATCGACTATAATAATAATAATGTTACACCTATGAAAACGGCGTCCAGAGTGGAAAACTTCATTAACGTCCGATTGGAATGCAATAAATAATCTTCCTCCTCCCCTCGCGTCCGCGTGGGACGTTTTACATTGCGCGCGTTATATCCACATGCGCGCGCTCTTTAACTTAATAAAAATCACACCGCGTGTAATTGATAATTATATAAAATCCGACCGGTTCGCGAGAGAGATATTCTAAATGTATCCGTCGATTCGCGCGTTATAGATTTTCTTTTCCTCTCTTTTCTTTTCGCGGCTTATTGATCCGCGACCAACGAGATTCGCGCTCCCGTGTTATGGATTTTCCGAAAGCGAATTTGTTTACGTAAAAGGAGAAAGGGGGTGATAATTGTCGCGGGGGGAGAGAACGAAAGTATACGAACGGGTCGCTCCTGTTGCAGAGGCCACACGGCGACTTTTACGTAAGTATTATACACGCGCAACATTGTTTTCTACGATTAAAAAAGATGAGCGTTACACCACGTGCGGTTGACCGGGCACCTTAGACTCCTGCAAACTCAGTTCTTGCGCTTGTAGTAGTCCTCGCTGAAACGTTCAATCGGATTTCATCAGAATTTATCGCTTGTCAAGAGAAAAAGAATTAACAAAACATTTATATTGTAAATATTGTGGAACTAAACCGCAAAATTTTAATTTAATTTGTTTTTTTTTAATTAATAGTAATTTCTAATTTTTATATTTATTGTAATTATCATTAATTTGTGATAATATATATTTGATCGTACTTTAATTAATTTAAAAAAATTAACGCGCGCTCACCATCCTTGCACATTTTCCGGCTCGGTGCATCTGAAACTCTCCTCGTTATATACAGTGCCGGGCTCGCACTGGCCTTTCTGCGGCACCACGCCGTTCTTGCAGATGTAGAACTTAGCGCAGTCCTCGGGATGAGGATACGTGGGGTGCGGTAGAATCCTGCCGGACGGGCCGGCGACGTCACCGTCCGGACAGACGAAGCCGTCGTCGAGAACGTCGCGTTTCACATTTTCGCACAGACGAGTCGCGTCCGCTGGCCAGACGCAGCTTGACATTTTTGTCTCGTAGATCAGTCCGGGTGGACAGGGAACCGTCTGAGCCACCCCGTCGATACAATTGACGAAACGATCGCACGCGGCTGGATCCTCGTGGTTGAAGATGCCGTTCGCTCGTGGACAACCTTTGCTAGGATGCGGCTCCTCTGTTCGATCGTATAATAATAATTAATTATATGTGTTATAATTAATTACGTATACGTGATATATTGATTACAATGATTTGCAGTTAATTATCTCACACACATAAGAATTTTTTTCTTTATAACAAATTTGTTTATATCGATAGATATTATATCATGTAATTCAATCGGTTTGCGTTATTGCATTATTAATCTACAGTTAAAAAAATAAATAATTCGACGCGATCGTATAAATGTAAATTGGAAAAAAAAATATCTCAATTGTTTGTTCATCGAAAAACCGGTTTTTTACTCGAATTCTATTTTCGTGACGTTGTCAGTTGTTTTTTTCAGGTGCGTCGAATCATAGCGAAGTATGGCATACGGATGAGATGATTAATCTCAACTTTAGACTTTCAGTTTCTTTGTGTGAATTGAATGTAAAAGTCGCAGTATAAAATCAATGACTGTGTCAAACGAAATAAAAAGAAATATTTCTGTTTTAAATTCTTGTTTGTTGAAAATGAAATTAAAAATATGTTATTCGCGAAACGAGATATTTTCACAAGTTAAAATTTTGACGTTAATTTGTTTTCAGACAAAAATTTATTATTTTTTTTTTTTTTATAATCATTTTCACAGTCTGGAACTCACGCAGGAGGTTGCGGTCGCCGCAAGGCACGTTTCCCGGTAAGTCGCAGAATTCCTTCTTGGGGTTATCATCCCTGAAGACAAGTCCGTCCTTGCAGAGTCTTTCTTCCGGCTGGCCGTCTACACAGGCGTAGTAAAGGTCACACTGTTCCGGATCGGGGAAGAAACCCTTGGGATCCGGGCATCGAAACTGCGCCCTGCTCAAGGTCACCAGAGTCGCAAGCAACAGAAGAACCACGTGGTTTCTCATTGCGAAGACGAAGTTTTTAAGATCCTTTGAGTAGTTTCAAATCTCTCTTGAACTTTCAGTTCTAGATTTTTCTCCTACTCTTTCTCTCCTTTCTTTTTTTTTTTTTTTTTGCTCTTTCTCCTCAACTTCTTCGTAGGCAGCAGCTTGTTGCGACGCCGATAAAACGTGACTGCGAGCCCGAAACGAATCCTGTTTTGCTCGACAGTCTCGCCACCACCTTGGCGGATCCTTGCTGTGCACATTTCCCGACCCTCCTTCTCCTCCTGGCTTCACCCCCCTTTCGCCGAAAGTCCTCTCTCTCTCTCTCTCTCTCTCTGTTTCTGATCGGGTCGCGGTCTCGTTGCCCTCTTTTCTCTCGCCGCATTCTAATAGGTGCACATAGGCGCGGGTTTTATTGCATTCGCGCTATTATCGGCGCACAGACAGATGTAGATCTCCTGGCATTTCCGGGTGCCGACAACGCGCCGGGTCGTTGCTACTGCGCTGTCGTTTAGCGAGATTTGCAACTCCCCACCTTAACGTTCGCGCCTGCATTGCAGAACGTTCGAAGCTTCGAATCTCCGAGATAATTTCGAGAGCGGAACGTGAGAGAGAACGAGATTTTTGTCTCACGTGTACTCACGAGAATAATTGCCCGTTTGTTTATTCGAGGTAATTAGCGCATAATTGTTCTATTAATTATCTGAAACCATTATCTTTTCGCGATTTGCGCCGTTGGAGAGATGAAACAGATAATTTCGCGAATATGTGAAAACACAGATGTCTATTATTTAAGTTAATTATACACAAGTGAGACACCACAAGTGCTCGTTTAGAAAAGAGATCATTTTTTTTTTTTTTCTACATCGCGTGTTTTTAAGTGTTGTCGTGAAAAATCGAAATTATATGTGACGCAAAGAATAATCGCGAAAAACTAGTCGACGTTGAAAACTGCGGAAATTAACTCATTAAGTGAATTTAATTCTCAAAAAAAAAAAAATAAGTAAATAAAAAAATTGACAGCACAAGTGACATTTGCGAACGACGATTGCGAATTAGAAAGTTAAATAGAAAAATAGCAAACATAATAATAATTCAACTTTTGACACGCGAGCAGAATCACGTCGATCTTTTACGTCGCGAGAAAAAGCAGCGAGATATTTTCATCTGATATTAATAATAATAATTTCGAATAAAAAAAAAAAACAAATTAGCACTTTTTCAGCGCTTTGTCATTGATGAATAATGTCCGTCAAAAAAGTGGAGCGAGTTAGCACGAGATGTGTGTATTTCACATTCGATTTTAAATAGAACGAGAAAGAGAGGAAAAAGAACAGAACGCAAAATGAGAAACAAGAGAGTTGTTCGGGAGAAAGTGATAGTGAACCGATCTCATAGCGGGAACGACTCAAGGCCTTTGCACGTTCCTCGAATATCGTGTTTCAAGAATTTATCACACAACTGCGTAAAATTGCATAAATTAATATTTTTCGTAAGAATGTATTAAAATTATTTACTCTGTGTGTGTAAATGTACGTGAAATGAAAATCAACTTAATTTTAATAATTTAGAAAATATATAGAACTTAGACAAAAACTTTTTTTATTTTGAAAAATTTTTAAATAAATTAAATTTCCAATTTTAAAATAAATTTTAAAAAAGAGAATAAAACACTTAAAAAGAAACTCTCTTCATCGGAGATATTCGTCAGAACTATTTTAATGTATTATTTTATATTTTTGTTTTAAAGTCAGGACCAGAGTTTTTCGAGGGAGAGAAAAGGGATTTACTTGAGCTGCGGGTATAAAATAAAACTAGAATGTATTTCAAGCATATACAAATGGCTAAACACACACATGGGGGCTAATTACACACTGAGTGAAATGAGTGACATGTGATTAGAGCGCGAGCACGGGGGACGTCCCGATGCGGGACAGATGAGCAACAGGTCGGGCAATTAGTTTAAATCTTCTTGTCGTCGTCCTTGTACCAGTCCTCGCTGTAAAAACAAATAACGAAATTAAACCAACGAGAAGATGAAAGATCACTTAACCGCGTGTTTCTTCCGTTTGTCGTAATTATATAATAACATTTCAATATTAAATTGCGACGATATATAAAAAAAAAAAAAGATGAGAAACGCGACACGTACCATCCGGCAACGTTTTCGGGTGAGTCGCATCTCTGCTGCTCCTCGTTGTAGACGGTGCCGTCGCTGCATCCTTGCTCACGTGGCGTCACGCCATTCAGGCACACGTAGAACTTCTGACAGTCCTCGGGATGCGCGAATTTGGGATGATCGATCAACATACCCCTGCTGTCCAACTGTTGCTCGGTCGGGCATTCGAATCCGTCCTGCAGCTTCTTGCCCATAACGCCGCAGCCCTGTAGTGTATTTATTTGTAATATATTTATTTATTTATTTATCATTTGTCTTTTTGTATATATTTTTATTTGTTTATCGTCGTCGAAACGCACTAAGCGTTTTTAAATCTCTGTGTTTAATCACTTTCTTTTCCGAATCTACTTTCAGCCGTGCACTCGAATTCAGAAATTCTCAATGCGCATTAATTAACGGTCAAATTTTCACTAATTACGAGGAAATATTGTTTAAACTCGTTGGGATTTGTGTAATTGCAATCGAGAGAAAGTAGTCGCGCTGTCTACCAGGGATGTTCTAGAAACGTACTTTCTCTCAATTAAAGATTTAACAGAGAAGTTTAACGCATCCTATTTTTTTTTTTTAAGAGAGAGATTCTTTTGCTTTTGAATGCAGACGACATAATTCGGCGAACTTTTTTGCGTTTGAAATTTGTGACGTCAGGTTTTCGCTCGATTCAGTTGCTAAGGGAAAATAGTTTTTTATTCTCGCACCTCGCGACCCGCGCTGTCGGGCCACACGCAGGTTCCGCTGTACTCGTCGAAGTGCAACCCGGTGGTGCAGGTGATCTCAATCGCTTCCCCGTCGATGCAGTTGTAGAAGATGTTGCAAACCGACGGGTCGGGATGCGCGAAGAAGCCGTTTCGTCGCGGACACTTCTTCGTCGGTTGCGGAGGTTCTGTTAAAAACGAAAATTCGTCGTTTTTAAAACTTGCGTGCGATCTCACACGGTAATCTGAAAATTCTTTTAATCAATCATAATCACCGTTTTAAAATCTTAAACCTTAATTAAATAATATACGGAAAAAAATGATGTTGAATCCAACAGTATCAGTTTAATTGAAATATATCCTGATGTTGATGCAACATCAATTATATTGCACTAGCAGATAGTTGCTTGAAGAGTCTAGACATTAAATTAATCGCGTGCGCAATTGAACGAACCATTTATTTTTGTAAGGCAGCCCGTGACGTCGACTTTAATTGAAGCAACATCTTTTTTCTGTGTAGTATATAATGATTTATATAATAATAATTTATTATAATTATTGAATTCTGAAGGAAGTACATGAGCAACACCTATCAAACAACTACCGATTATATCTGATCTAATATCAGAGATATTGTCTTACGTAATTCAAGACGGTTGCCGCAATCGACGTTGAAGACGTGATCGCACTTGTTGACCTTGCGATTTAGCGGATCGAACACGAGACCGTCCGGGCACAGTTTTTCCGTCGCGACGCCGTCGATGCACTCGTAGTACTTGTCGCATTGCTTGCTGTCCTCGTACTGGCCATCCTTGTTGGGACAGTTGAACGCGCCGTCTGCAACATTTTACATCGACAAACCAATGTAATTAGCCGCGCGGGCGGAAGTACTGTCGATCGGGACAGATATGTTTTATCTCGGTCGTCGATAGAACTCGTTCGACCTGTCGTCCGAGAATCGAAATTATTTCGTCCGTCTTTCGCGTTACTTATGTAATATCTTGTCTCGAACTGCGCTCAACCGCGCTTATGCAACTCGAGAATGAGAGAACTGACATTTACGCTTTAGAAAGTTCGCTCTCGCACTGTCTTCCAACTCTCCGTGATTCTAACGGACATTTTTTTTCAAGTCCCAGCGCGTTTCGCACTCTTTTCGTCTTTGTGTTGCAACTTTTTTACGAACTAATTTTTCTTTTCTTAATTTTTTTTTGTTTTTTTGTTTTTTTCAACGCAAGACAAGTAGACTTGGAAACTCGGACCGTTTCCGCGAGATCTAAATCGCATTTTCTTTTCCGTTTAATTTCACATTCCAACTTTTTGTCTTATAATTTTGTTTGATATTTAAAAAAATATAGAAATACGTAATAATATTAAAAAAAAATAAAAAAACAAATACGTAACACTGTCAAATAAAAATTACACGACATATCGAAAATGTCATTATTTAAAATAATAAAAAAATGTTATACCGGTTTTATAAAACGCGTCCCGCGGTATCGATACTTTTTAATATGTATCTTGTAATCTCTCCGACGTTCGATACTCACGTGTCAGCGCGATCGCGCCCAGCAACGTGACGATCCTTACGATCATGTTTTTCCGGTTCGGTCGAATCTTGGTTTTTTTTTTTTTTTTGTTTTCTCCCGAATCGCGACGAGATGTGATCCCTGGATCGCACTGAGATTCACTGAGATAACGGGAAGGAGCGGGGAAGGTTGAACGACTTTAATTAGACTAATCTAATTTTTGGTCCCTCTTTGGAATGGCGTCGCGGAACTGCAGCTCTTGAGCCACTCGCCGGCTGTGTATACCCCCGTGAATCCCCACTATATCAACACACAAATCCCACTTTCGCCGTTACTTTTCAACGATGGGCACTTCGTCGTGAATAAAGATCGAGAGAGAAGAGAAAGAGAGGTATTTGAACCCTTCTCTCTTCTTGACGGCGCTCTCACTTCTCGGTGTCCTTCGTCGCGTTTTTCTCGGAAGTGAGAAATGCAAATTTGCAGCGCGACGCGCAGTCGCGATCGCGGACTAAGGTAAACGCACGTTGAAATGACGTGGAGATGTTCTCGAGATGAAGCAAACAATTTTTTTCTGCCAAGATAAAATTCACTAATTCTTTATCTCGGCGAAAGATTCGCAAAAATGTCAAAGAACGAACATGAGGAAGAATAGAAAAAATATTGCAACACAAAAAATGTTATTTCGTCAGAACAAAAATCTAAATGTATATTTAGCACCGCGTGGAACTAAAAGCAGAAAAAAAATACACTTAAAAAAGAAAAACAGTATAAAAAACAAACTTGATCGCGACACAACAAGGAAAAATAATTCCGTAATTATTCCGTTCTTTATCTTTCGAACGTGGACAAAAGATTGGATTACGCATCACTGGTTGCGGTTTACTAGGAAACGAATAGCTTTTTGTTAGACTTTCTTTACTCGACTGTCGTTTAACATTCACCTTCGCACTCGCTTTGATTGTTCCGGTCCCTGTGACAATGTTATTTTCGTTCTTTACGATATCGATATTGTCACATTTACCACTACAAAGTAAAGATATATATATTGAACGAAAGAGAGATGAGAGAGAGAGAGAGAGAGAGAGAGAGAACCGATCTCTTTGGACGCGCGTTGTTACAATCGCAACATTTATTCTGTCTTGAAACCACAGTGTGTTTTGTCGAATCAGTTGTCGGGAATAAAATCTCCGCGATGCGCAACCGTGTTTCTTCCTGCTTCGTTCTCGCTCTCACTGCCGCACTTTTCCGACAGTTTAACACAAAAGTGAGAATAGGTAGTATTCGATTCGATATGGCGTTTGACGCACATGTCGATCCGCTCGATCGAATTAGTTCGCGGTGTTTTACTTCGCGATGAACAAAACAAGCGCGGAACTGAATCGAAAATAATTTATAAACATCAATGCGCGCGTTTACGCGTTACACACTGATAAATTTGACACCAAATCGTTCGGCGCAATCTTTCCGCTTTATCTCGGTGAATCGCGCTTCTAGCTCTAGTGTCGGTATTATCCCCGTAACAATGCTTTCATCGCGCTTATGTAAAGCGATCTTCGATCTTTGTTGCGTTTACGAAAGCATTGCGCGTTATAGAGCTGGATTTCGAAAACAGTTCCACCCGAGAAATGCGAGGAAACGTTGTACGTCGGTCTTACACATTGCACTTTCACTGCTCGCACTGTTCTAACATGCGATCGGAATTTATTGCGGAAGAAACGCTTGGGTCTTGGATCCGTTTAAGCATGTGACGCGCGTGAGAGTCTCTAAAAAAATCTGGGGAAGATTGGACACAAATATTCTCGTACGCAAAGTTGCGCCAAACAATACGCTTTTCATTGTTTCACAGACATATTGTCGGTGCAACTTTCGAAGATATTCAATTGTAACAAACCTGTCGCGTCTCAATCAAAGTAAACAAAAAAAAAGAAACAGAGCAAGTGCGGTTTCAGGTTCACTTACAAACGTAGACGTTTCGGGAGTTCGAGTTAGGTAGGTCGCGCGGGTTGAAAAAAAATGTTTTTCCTGTGAAAAAAGCGTCAAAGCGTCTTCTTCCTCTAACTGGTCTTCTTAGAGAAGATACACTTTCCGATTATTTTTTCTAATTATTGCGCAGAGTATCCGCAACTTGTAATTTGTTTCGTCAAATCGATCAATTTCGCAGACAGGAATTATGAGACAAATGCATTTCGTGTGAGTTGTGTTGTTTGTGGTAAATATAATATTTATTCTACAAGGATGGTTTAAAAACGAAAGCGCTTAGAGATCTTCTATACGCCTAATTTAGAGTCGATCCTGCTGCCGCAGTCGGCCTGCTGCTTTTCCTTCTGCTGGGTCCACCGGTAGATTTGGGCTTGGGTGTCGGATGCTCCAAAGCGTCCAGTTCTTCGTCAGTCAGCTGACCTTTGTACCAGTCTTTGCTGTGGAAAAGAAATTGTTCGCTTTAAACTTATTTATTTATTTTTTTTTTTTATCTCTAGTGATGAGAAAGAAGAGCAGTAAGGTTTCGTAAAAAAAAAATCTCTACATTGGTGATTGTTTGGTGGTACCAAACAATCGTTTATTTACCACTCGGGTATCTTCCTGGCCCAGTCGCACTTGCCGGTGCGCTCATCGAACGCCTGGCCGAGTTTGCATCCGCTTCGCCTCGGCACCTCGCCGTTGACGCACACGTAGAAGTACTGACAGTCCTCGGTGTCGGGATAGCGCGGATGAGTCGCGGCCACGGAATCGTCAACCTTCGGACAGGTGAAGTTAAAAAGCTCACGCGAACCGCAGCCTTTCTTCTGCGCCTCGTCCGGCCAGTTGCAGATTCCAGTCTTCTCGGAAAAGACCAGACCGTCCGGGCATGTGATCATGTTGAACTTGCCCTCGACGCAATAGTAGAAAGTGTCGCAATTCCTGGGATCCTCGTGGGCGAAGTAGCCGTGCATGCGCGGGCAGTGTGGCGACGGTTGCGGTTTTTCTGTAAGAGAGAAAATACAATGATGACGTTCAATTGTAATTATTTTTCGTAAAAATTTCAATTAATATCTCTTTAGTTATTAAAAACTTATTAAAAAACATGATTTTAGTTTATTTAACAAATTTCGAAACAAAACACCGCAGTTTTGTTCTGTGTTTCTCTGAATAATTTTTTTTAATTTACAAAAAATATACAATTTTAAATAAATACCTTATTAATGATTTTTTTAAATAATAATCAATCAAATTGATGGCTCACGTAGTTTGGGTCTCTTCGAGCAATCGATGCCGAACGGCAGATCGCACTTCTCGTGTTGCGGACTAAAATCGTTGAAGACGAGACCGTCCGGGCACAATTTATCCGTTATTTTTCCGTCCCGGCAATCGTAATATTTGTCGCATTGCTCCGCATCCGGAAAGTATCCGTTGGGTTCCGGACACTGATCCAGAAGCTCGTCATCCTCGTACTCTTCCTCCGGTTCTGGTTTCCTGGGCGTTGTTGCCGAAGCGACCTTTCGACGACTCTGCTCGGCAGCCTCTTGCTTCCTCGTCAGAGCTGTGACGGCTCCTGCGAAACGTAATGCGGTATCAAAAACACGTTGCACAGCGTGAAACAGGTAATTCAACTTTTTTAACGCTGCAATTGTGTTTTATTTTCTCTCGGTCGGCAAATCTATATTTTAAATCACGTAATTGCGCTTCGAATATTTTTCAACAATTGCGAAACGAGAAGAAAATCCCGCAGACAACAGTTCTAAGATTACACATGTTTTCGCCACTCGTCGCACGCGTCTCTCAATATTTTTTTTTTCCAAACTTCGCCAATCCGGGCGATTCTTTGTGTCGCGAGTCGCTCGGTGACAGAAAAAAATACACAAAGAGGAATTAAAAAAAAAAAAAAAGAAAACCAGAATGAACGCAGAGGGTCGACTGGTCTCTCTCTCTCTCTTTCTTGGCGCGCGTTTTCAAGGCAGCAGCACGCCTGCGTCCCTGAAGAAACGCCGGTCGACCTCTCTCGAGCGAAGAAAGCGAGAAAGTGGCCGTATCGAGGCTCCCGTATGTGTACCGGTTGATCGGACAGAATTTAACTGTCGTTCGATTCAATGCTCACTCCGTAATCTTTCCGCAATAGATTTCGATTTCCATTGTTGGTAAACATTCTCTTTAATTAATAGACGGACAGAGACGTTCATACAATTACAGAGACGTTCTCGCCCACGGAGAGAGACGCAACATTCATATAGGATGGCCATTAGACTTTCACAGCTCCGTAAGTTCTTTATAATGAACGTCTAATGAGGTTTCTGGTGGGTTTTTGTTCTGTGCGAGCGGACAGACTTTGCGAGAAAATCTTTTCGCAAATCAAGTCTCTTTTTCTCATTGAAGAGTATATTTTTTTTTCTTATCTTATATCGGATTGGTCAGAAAGTCTCTTTCTCGTATTTTAATATAAAAATACAAAAAAAAACTTTCTGATTAGTTCAATATGTGTATACGTAATTATATAAATTATTTTACAAAAAAGATATTAAGTTAACAATCGCACCAAGAGAAATCGACTTTTGTAACATTTTTCTACGCACCGTTTGTGCCAAAAAAAAAAAAAACAAACGATCCGTCGGAGTCATCGGAAGATACTTAGCGAAAAATTTTTCGCGTTTTCGTGTTATTCTCGCGTTTCTTACTTTTGAAAGTCGCGAGAAACACACGAACCCCGATAGAAGAACTCACCGATGCAGATGAGAAGACAAAGCACCTCCGTCCTCATCTTGACGAATGGCGACAAAGAGAAAATGTGTGTGACGTCACTTCTTGATCCAATCGTGGTAACGCGGAGGAATTGATGACTAGAGACTACTGGGCCCCGCCGAACGGCCGTTGGGGCCTTATATGTGGCCCCCTCTTTATTCGCTACGAGGTTACAACACTTGGCGGGCGCCTAAGGTCTATGGGAACACCGTCAATCTTTCTACGTACGTATCTTTCGCATGCACAATACGCATAACGGCATACCCCCCCCCCCCCTACTTTGTTGCGCTTGTCACGGGATGAGACATTTTGCAGAAACAAATATATAACAACATTAAAAAAAAACAAATTCTCTGATTTTTTTACAAATTAATCGAAACTTTCGCTTGATTTCGAAAAATTGGAAAATTTTTGTAACAAATTACAAATTTACAAATTAATGTAACAATAAGTAAACAAGCGTTTGAACAATAAATATGTAAAAATAATTAACTGTGCGATGAAACGGAATTTTTCATGAAATGACTCAAAAATTTTTTAACCAAAGATCTTCTCTTGAATAAAAACAGCTTTATTGTTTTTTTAATACAGAGATTTTCTACTTGTGCAATATTTATATATTAAATACTGAAATATAACAATTGTATTCTTAAATAAAATCGTATCGCGGTGAATTCGAAGTGCAATGGGTTTAAATCGAAGAATCGCAATGCTGCACGCAAAAGTCACGAACTCCCGCGCAAATTCCTCTTGGCAACCTCTTAGCATCGATTTGCCTCCCTTTTCTCTGCGAGATATTTTTAGAACAAAGTCTCCTCCACGCCGGGTGTGAACGACACGAAATTCCAGTTTCTTTCTTTAATATTTCCAGTTTTTATATATATATATATATTTTTTTTTTGGATTGTGTTTTCTGTTTGTCGTATGAGAATTCCACTAAAAATAACACTCGGCATGTTAATGGTACCGCAGCGCGTTTTCAAATATTTGAAACAACTTAGAAGAATAATTGTGTTTCAATATATTATTTCAATAAATATTGTCTCTTTTTTTAATTAAACAGTTTCATCAACGCCTTGTTCAATTGTGCTTTGACGCACACACTTCGTGCGCAACATATGTTGTTTGAAGTAAATTTATTTAGAAAGGTGAAGAGTGTGTTCGCTCTGATCACACACCGTGATACTCTCGAGAGTAAGCCGTCACGACTATGGAAAATAGAGAACCGTGAAAGGTCGTCCGTTTGTGAAACTTATATTTCTTTTACAATCAGAACGGCGAATATTATCGTAATTTTCTTTAATAGAGTTAATGTGTGCGTAATTCCACGCGACGTCTTCCTCCGTTCATTCGAGAAAACACACTTGAGATACAAGAGCGAGTACGTGTCAATTTTTTCGAGAAATTCAAAAGTTTTATTGTTTTCATCAAGGTATATATCAGGTCTATCGGAAAGTTCTGTCCGTTTTTGGAATAAAACAAAATACAAATTTTTCTTACCGTCAATAAACTTTATTAAATAATATAATTGCCATTATTATATTAATGATTTCTTGCCAGCGTGAGGGCAATTTGTATATCTCATTTTTGAAAAATTAAGAAAAATTTGTATTTTGTTTTATTCCAAAAACGGACAGAACTTTCCGGTAGACCTAATATATAATCATAAATTTTCAGTCAATTCGATATTAACAAAACAACCGCATATGCGCGATATGCGAATGCAAATTGAAAATTACTCTCGCTCTCGATCGAAGTTGTTTTTTTAAAATATGTATTTATAAAATCGCGTCACGTCTCTAATCGAATTTTTTTCACATCGATTGTCTTCCCCGCGGTACAACTGACAAACGGTAATCGCGTTTCCTGCTCTACCGGGTCGCGCCACGTGTATTCAATCGGCGTGTCCTTCTGCTCTGCTATTGGCGCCACTGTGCAAATACCCGATTAACGTTGTGGGAAGCGGTGGAAGCGCAGCGCGACGCGTCTTTTCGCTCAGCAAGTTCTCGGCGCGCGCGTGGCCAGCCTGTTCCGTCTTTTTCCGCCATTACATAGACGGCGTTAGCTAGCCCGCGGAGATTTCTCCGCTGAGAAGTAGATCTGACGGACGCGACGCCTTACCGACGCTCGGCGTCGTCGATCTGAGCCCAGGCACTGGCGAGTCGAAGTTACAAACCGTGAGTTATTGCGGTCAGCGTAAAACCGATCCTTGTTTTGTCGGAGTGCTGCTTCCCGCCCGAGTATACGCAGTCGATTATAATAACGCGCGCGCGCGTGTGTGTGTGCGTGAAAGCGCGTGTAACGTACACGGTCGTTACTGGGAAAAAAGTGAACGAGAACGCCGGCGGATATGGAAAACAGACCGGCGCCGCTCCGTTCGCGGCGCGTCTGCCGTTTCTGTTTGACAGAATCCGAGCCGTTGAGTTACATCTACGAGCGCGAGCACAACAAACCGTTCCAGGTGCCGCTCGCCCTGCAGATCATGTCGTGCGTCGCCATCGAGGTGAGTGGCCCCGTCGCTCTGTTTTAATCATAGCGCGATACACGCAGTTGGACGACGGAAACGGCTTCGATGATCATCGAGTTTTGCGCCAAAGTTCGTTTCGTGAATTTTTGTCGTGAAGTTCGATCAGAAGCGCGATAAGAGAGAACGGATTACGGGGATTAGATGTGCGAGGGTGGTTTTTATTTGCGAGTGTGGGTGAGCGAGTCGAATAGAAGCATCGGTAAAGTGAACGGCAGGATTATCGGTTGTGTTTTGACGTCGCGATGTTGACGTTTGAGCAGAGAGGACGCCGTTGTCGGATCGCCGTTGTCGGTTCCCGCTTCATTTCTGACGCTCGTTTGAAATTTGAATCTCGTTTCGTCGTTTTTTTTTTTTTTATTATTATTTTTTTTTTTGCACATTAGTCACAAGCTTAGAACAATAGGATTTCATTTTAACGCTTGTCAACAAACACGTCAAGAAACGTGTTTTTTTTTCTTTTTCCAGTTTTCCAGGTAAGCTCGCTCATTAACACGTTTGTTCGTAAATTGTTATCTCCGACAGGTGTACGCCGCGGATGGGATGCCGCAAATGATTTGCAACATGTGTCGATGGAACATAGACCGCTCTTACAAATTCAAGCTACAATGCAAAAAAGCGGACGAGGCTCTTAGAGACTATCCTTTGTCGGGTGTGCTTCCAAGACCTTTTCCTCCAATTTCCGTTGATCCGCCGTCGGACGTGGGCGGCAAGAGAATCGCCGAGTCCAGACCGTCGCCCAGCGATTCGAAGAAACCCCGGTTTGAAAACGACAACTCGGACACGAAAGAGAGCCGGGAGAGAGAGAAGCAGGAGGATGCGAGAGAGAAATCGGACGAGTTTTACGAAGAGGAGCAGTACGGAAATAGCGAGGGCGAGAACGAGGAACGTGACGAGAGGAACAAGGAGGAGACGAAGCTCGAACCCGGAGAGATCAGAGTGCACGCGTGCGATCAGTGCGAACGCACGTTTCCTCTCCGTCAGGCGTTGATGTTGCACGTTGCTCGCGCTCATCGCGAGCGCAACTTCAAATGCACCGACTGCGAACGCACGTTCTTCACGAAGTACGATCTCAGCAAGCACATGATCACTCATTCGGAGGAGAAGCCGTTCTCGTGTCAAATCTGTCAGAAGCAGTTCTCGCGTCAGAACTTTCTGATTCGTCACGAGAAGGTGCATCGGGAAGAGACGCGCTACGCTTGTCAACACTGCAGCCGTGAGTTTTTCACCACGGAGGAGCTCGAGAAACACGAGGAGGCGATGCACAAGAAGGAGAAACCGTTTCAGTGCAACATTTGCAACAAGACCTTCCAATACAAACAGGGTCTGGAGCGACACGAGATGATACACAGCGACGACAAGACATTCGTTTGCGATTATTGCAAAGAAGCCTTCCACACCAGCACCAAGCTGGCTCGTCATTTGAACACGCACGCCGGTCGCAGGCCGTATCTCTGTAAGCTGTGCCCGCGCACGTTCTTGCTCTCACATCACTTGACGAGACATATGCGCAGCCATTCGGTGGAGAAAAATCACGTGTGCGAGGATTGCGGCAAAGCGTTTAAACGCAAGGAGAGTTTGGAGGTGCATCAACTGACGCACACAAAACGCTCGGGAATGGCTCTCACTTGCGACGTTTGTCAGGAGTCGTGTCGCAATCGCGCCGATTATGTTACTCACATCAAACAGCACATCGAGGCGGGCGAGAAGATGGGGCCCGATCATATACAACCCGAGAACAAGAACACGACCATTGAATTGGATTCGGACGAGGATGACGAGGAAGAGGAGGAGGATCAATATTCCGACGACGATTATCGTCCACCGTCGTACTTGTCGAAGAAACTGCCGAAACCGCCGGTGAAGCCGCCGTCGGAAAGCGATGAAGATGACGACGAGAAGAAAGAAGATAGAGAAGAAAAATCCGAGAGGCAAGAAAAAGAAGACCGCAAGGAACAGGTGGTGTATTTGCGCGGCAAGGACGGTTTGATGAAGAAAACGATCAAGACGTTGATGCCAATTCAACGTCGTGAAGTTCAAGATCAGATGTCCACGAAACAGATCTCTCCGGCACGATCCTTTTCCCAGAAGAGTTCGCAAATGAAGGAGGACGAAACTGAGATGCAAGTACAGAAGATCGTCGCGTCGGTGTTCAAGGAGCACAAAATTCCACTGAAGCAGCAACCGAATGCTGGTCAGGATCAACAAAAGGATTCATCGACGTTAGCGACTAAATCCCAGTCTGCTTCCCAGGAGACTCGCAAGGACGACAAGTCAGAGATCAGTGGCGCGACACCTACTGCGAAAACGGTGAAGGTGATCAAGAGGATTGTGTTGAGAAAACCGTCAGGAACTCCCGGAACCGGCGGAGGAAACAGCGTCGAGGGAACGCCAGTTGCTACGAAGGACGCGGATGGTTTGGTGACCAGCACACCGGTTTCTCATGGAAAGATCAAGCGCGTGATCGTGCGCAGAATTATTCGACAGGGCGACAAAACTCGAGAGGTGGTTATGAACGCGGACGGCACTGTCATAGATCCTGCAGAGCTGGCGAAATTGCCGACCGGCAACGTGGTTAAGCGAGTGGTGGTGAAACGGCCGCTGGATAAGAGTCAGAGCCTGGTACAGGCGGTACTGCAATCCACGGATCAACAGCAGGCTGCGGACGACGCAATTCTGAGCGAGAAGTTCGAGCTGAAGACCTCGACATCGACCAGCAGCGCGATCACTGGCGCGCCAAAAACTTCGCAAGCTGCAACACCGAAGACGCAGACGATCACTCAGAGTCAGGATCAGGAGACCAAGGAGAAGTTGGAACAGTTGGAGAAACGGGTGGAACAACAGAGGTTGAAGATCGAGGAACTACAAGCGAGAAAAGCGCAACAGGATTACGAGACGATTGACGAGATGCCGGATCGACACGACGAGTCTGAGGATGAGCAGCAGCTGCCGCTGAAGAGGGTGTTCGTCAAGCGGAAGCAGAGTATCTACGACGAGGAGCGGGAGTATAATGACGATGAAACGACATCATCGAAGCGTCAGAAGACTTCAGACGAAGTCGAAACTGTTGTAAAAGAAGAGGAGAGACCTGAAGAAGCAGTGGAGAAAGTTCTAAAGGAAGTCCCCGCCACGACAAAAACGACGACGACGACGACGACGACAGCGACGATAGCGACGATAGCGGCGACGGCGACAACAACGAGCGGTGAGAGCACCGCTACGACAACCAACAGCAGTACGACAGTTTCGAAAAAGGGCCCGACAATTTCTAGCAACAAAGTGTATTCTAATAAACGTTACATGATTGTCAAACCTGGCGAGACATCGGAAGTGGAGGAGATGAGTCGCGAGTTGTGCAGCATTCTCGAAACAACCGACAGCGTGGTGAAGATGCAGGAAACGGTGCTGAGCAATTTGACGCAAATCTCGGGCATTGCGTCGACGCCGGAGGTGGTCAGCGAGACATCCGCGAAAACTTCCACCGATCAGCCGATGGAAGTCGAAGAGCCGATACCTCAGGAAGATTGCGTGTTACAGATGGAAGATTGCGACGTCGAGATAAAAACCAAGACAGAAGTGGAAGATACAACGGATACGGAGATAAAACTCGAGGAAGAAACCACGCAGGTGATCGCGGTGCAGGAGTCGCAGGAGCAAACTCTGACACTTGACACGCAGGATCTTGCCGAGGCTACGGCTATATTCGAGCCGTCGGACGACGTGCTGGAAGTACAGAAATCGAGCGAGAATCTGAACAATGCATCCGTCATTGAACTGTCTCAGGGTAACGACACCATCAATCTAAACGATACCCAAGATAGTCAAGACAGTTTAGAGGACAAGCTCTCGCAAATGGAGGGTTAAAATTCTCTACTAAATCCTTAACGAGACCGATTTAGATGCGAATATCGTGATTTTGTGACGAGTAAAACAAAAAACAAAAAAAAAAGAGCTGTGGTCCGAAGTTTATTATTGTAAGAACGTACCGAGAACTCGCGCGATATCAAGTTCAAATCATGGGATCGCTTTTAATAATTAATCTGGACTGGTGAGATTTTTACCAATTGAAATTACCTTTGTCGTATACTTTTTTTTTTTATCGTTTACTACGCGATGAGTTGCAACATCGGAATGTATGACATAACAGGTAGTGCAACATGACGATCGTGCTAGAATGAGATATTTTACAAACGCGTCTATTGAGAACAATAGATCTTTCAGATGTTTTTTTATTGCTTGGATGAAAAAAATTAAGCAGCAAATTTCCGCAAATTACACACAACGTGTAAGAGAATTTTGAGAATTTAAATTGTCATCAATTTTCTATTTAATGTAAAACAATTTTTGTCTCTCCAATCGCTCGTTATATTTTCGGATCGCAACGAGAGAAATAGAGAAAGATTACAATTACAATGGAGTCGTGCTCGCGTTGAAATGTTTACCCTTGCGAATGCGAACAAATTTATAGCGTAACTATATCGATATTTTTTTTTTTTATGTCGGTAAGTATAAAATTGAGTTTCACATACACATCGAGATTTTTTAATCAATCGTATAGATTTCTTTTTTTTTACTCTTATCCAAGCATTTCTGATATTCTTATATATATGTATATATATGTATGTATGTATGTATG